CCTCCTAACGAAGCATAAATATTTTCATGTCAGTAACATACGTAAGGGAATTCATTATTGAATGTTGCTTTGTTAAAAAAATCAGATATAGGTTAAACTTTTGGAATGACACAAATGTCGTTACTAGACATGAAAATGACACTTGTGTTGTTACGTGCATAAATACGAGTATAAACAGTTACAATTCGTTTGTTCCCTAAAAATAATAAGTGAAACTTATTTATGTTGTAATGTGTACATGACACGTACAAAAGTTGATAGATATGTTCATTAATATAATCGACACATATGAGTGTGATGACTTGTGCTTTTACTATCTCAATAATATAAAATATGTCATTTCAATCGTTCTTTTTGACTAGTCAATCTTTTTATATTATATACCTTAGCGAATTCATTGTTAGAAATCATTTTATTGAAAAAATCAAATTGCAGCAGATAACAACTATAGTATCGTTTTACTTTACAGATAACGGCTGGAGTGGTGTTTTGTATTTCATATAGTAGTTGAAGTGCTATTACATTCAATGGTTGCATATAACATAAAAAATACACTAAATACCAAAACAATACCAACTAAATATTGTTTAATAATAAAAATACAACATAGATGCGATTTCTAAGAATATCTTTCTTCACTCAAAAGATACCCAAAATAAATGAAGAAATATAACAAAGAACATAATTTTAGGATAGCAAGAATGGTGATTGAAAAGAAGAAAATCGGTTATTGTAATTTTGAGGACCAAAAATTGAAAAAGATGAAAATGGAAAGAAGAAGACGTTATTTTTAAAAAAAAAAAATTAGGGCTTTAAGATGAATTTGGAGGAGAAATGTCAGGATGAAATGAGAAAAGCTAAAAGAAAATTTTGTCATTTTGCCAACTAAAGCATTTTACATTTTTCTATTTGTTTTTATTATTGGTCAAAGACCATTTAACCAAGTATATTGTTAAGTTCGGCTATTGGGCCAAATTCCCCTTAATTTTATTGGTGTGATTCTCCGTTTCGTGAAAATGTGCATCCCTCTTTGTTTTTTAATTGTCATGCATGCTCTTTAGGAGACTGACTAGTGGCTAAAAAAATATTGCGTAGCAAATTCATCTAATGCAATTGCAAATTTGGATGCACTTGCTTTGTTTGTCTACCATTACTCACAAATAATGTGGCACAAAACCCCTAAAGACAATGTAATCATGAATACTGTAGATATGGATAGCAACGTTGTCAGCTGTCAGTGCAGCTAGCGGAGTTCCAAAATGGGCAGATGGACAAAATTGATAGCCAACTCTTTAATAGGGGGCTGTCACTTGGCGACTTTGTCAATCAACTTGTACAAGATATTGTACAAGTAGAATAATTCATTTCACTCGCCCCAAAGGTCTTCATCATGGTAATGACCTCATCTCACATTTTGCTCATCTTTTGAGAAACTTTTTGTTTCCAAAAATGTTTGGATAATTGACTTTTACTTACCCCCACCCCCCCCTATGGCCCCCATTTTTTTTTCTCTCTTATTTTTCACTACACAATCTTCCATAAAATAATATTATATGTAAATCGAAATTTTTTTCATTCTTTTTTAATTACACATTTTTAAAATAAAAAAAAAATAAAAACTATTCTTAACATTAAAATTTGAAAAGAATGGGGCAAATGGGGGCTTATTTTAAAATGAAAAACGCTTTTATCTTCCTAGCAAAATAATTACTTATTTCAACTCCGACTAGTAAAAAATTAGATATTTGAAAACTTATTTACTTATAACTTAACTTTTTAAGCTTAGCACTACATGCTCAATATTTAGAAAAAAGGAAAGTCATTATATGGAAGAGCAGAAGTGTGCATGGGCCCATTCTTCCGCTTCTACCTACGAAGATAAATGAAATCAAAATCAATCGTGCTACTTGTACAATGTATTTTACAATTTGGTTTACAATGTATGAGTTGACAAACATCACATTCACCTATTTGAAAAACTATTTTAAAATCAAATGGTCAGCATTTTTTCAACACACTTGTTATCAATCAAGTTGTGTAAATACATTGTACAGATGGCTTTATTCAATCAAAATATACACCAGCAGTCCATAAAGACTGCTCTTCCTAATGATTTGATGCCACGCTCTATTGTTGGGATCATTTCTACATATTGAAGCCGGCAGCCAGGTACACATTGATTCAACAAAGTTAGCTGCAAAATCTACAAAACTATAAGGATCATATATGCCCACTCTTACTATCTATAATAATTGGCTATTGCCGCTGTTCCTTTTGTCATCTCTTGTGGCCATCTCATTTCTTATGAATCAAGGAGGAAAACTGGCTTTTCCGACGTGTTTGGTGTCATCTACATTGACGAGTCCCTGCATCATACTTTGTCCTTGGATTTTAGTTCTTCCACTTTACATTTACAAGTGAGCAGCATACCCTGCTTGTGTTGCCTTTTTTGCCAAAAACAAAAATGGAATCGAAAAGTATAATATTGCCAACGGGATCTACTAAGTTGTTGACTAAAGTTGCTTCTTCATAGTCTAGCTATCGCACCACGCTTTTGAATTGCTGCCAATAAGATTCTTTTAGATGGTTTCACTTCTTCCAATCACTTGGAGAAGCCGTATGTTTGTTAAGTCAAGACATTATTAAGGAAAATAAGTTAGAATCTTGTCTATTGTACTACGTGCCCAAAGGTATACTATATAGGATTAGAAAATATTTTCACTTTTACCCGATCCATCTGAGTTTTTTCTTCTTCTTTTTTCCCCTGAATCTGTTACTAATACTTGATAAATTGTTAGTATTGCACTTTTTCTTATCTTTGAATTCTTATTTGTATTTTCCTTAACTCTATGCAAACTGCACAATATATGTAGAGTGGTTGCCACGACTTAATTGTTGACATTGACATCGGGTTTGTCCATGCACGTCACATTCATTTCAATGGGAAGTCATCCAACGATTTACACACAAAACTGCTGTTTCTCATCGTCAAATGGGTTGAGGATGGCACATTGTTGCTTGCTTAGCATAAAACTATAGCTCGTTTATGGAAAGAGTACAAAGAGGGTTAAAGTAATGAGCTCGTACAATCAGAGAGGGGTAGATGCGGGTCAAGGACGGCTATACCCTTACTCGATACAATTTATTGAGTTACGTATTCCATCTTAGAAAATCAAATTTATTAACAAAATTAGCAACATGAGCACTTGTATGTTGACAAATGCTTTCAGTTGTAATTGGTATAGTGATTTTTTTCTTAACATGTCAATGCAAGATTGTTACTTGTTTAAGAACTTCAATCCAAATCTAAAATTTCCTTTAAGCTTTAGATAGGTCAGATTTTTGGCTTGAGTTTGTTGAGCTGTAGATATGATTTTGAATTTTGAGGGTTCATTATAAAAAGAAAAATACTATCTAGCACCATAGATCTTGTTAAATGAGTCATAATTTCTTGTATTTAATTGAACATGTAATTTATTTTTACTAATACTGCACCTAAACTGATGTTAAACATCAATGGTGTTAAATAACATTACTCAATTGACAAAATTCAACCTGTCTCAAGCTCGATAATAGCTAGCTCGTTTGGAGATGTAGGCCAGATCGAGCCAATTCTCTAGGTTGCTTGCACGAATATTTTCTAATTTTTTCCCCCAAAAATTATTATTTAAAAAAATCTATTGCCCGACAGCATACCTAGCATGTTGAGTTGGTATTGACGAGCCAATCTGACACAGGGAAAAAAAAATAAGAAAAAAGCAAAATTAAAATATGGGTTTTAATATTATGGCTTAATAACATGAACGCGAGATAATTGAGAGCTGCCACACAAATAGGGTCCTGTCAAAAGCCCTTGTTTGAGTAGCAAAATTCAAAATAATTATTCTTTGTACAAATTAATCTAAATTTAACTCGTATATAGTCTTGAGCATGATTTGGGTTGAGTTGGCTTTGAGTCCAACCCGAAATCGAAACTGACCTGATCGATTTGGATAAATTTCAAGCAAAACCAATCCAATCCACTCATTGAAACCAAACCAAACCAAATCGGTTTGGATCGGTTTGATTTGGTTAATCTTTTGGAATTTGTTTGAGTAAATAAAAAATAAAATTGTCTAACTATATTGAGATAAAACATTTATTTTTTTTATATATAAATTTTTTTCTTGCGTGATGCATATCAATAATATATATAGTGTGAATGGTAAAGAATCAATTTTTTCAAAATCATCATATATATAAATCCAATACCAACAGACAATTAGGTCAAAATGAAAGTAAGGCTACAATCTGAATTCAAAATTTATATCAAACACTCCTTGCTTTCTTTTCTTTTGACATTTAAAGTTTTGGTAGAAAAAATATAGACGATAAACAAAATATTTTAGATAAAATTATATATTTTTATTTTTTTATTATGTTTTTGGCGTTTAACAAGATGAGTTTTAAAATTAAAAAATATATATATATTTGGTGGTTTGATCGGTTAATTAATGGATTTTGGTTGCTTAAACCGTAACCAACCGAACCCGACTTTTTAATGGTTAAAATTAATCAAACCAAACCAATTGTTTGGTTCAAACCAACCCAAACCTACCCGACTCGGTTTGATTTGATTGGTTTGGTTGACTTTTCAATTTTTTTGCCCTACTCATAGAAGGTCTTAAATTTGAAGGGAAAAAAGGGGGAAAAAACTGATAAGGTCCGTTTATACATTTTTATTTCTTTTTCAAAAATTTATTCTCTTAAAATATAAAAGAAAAATTAAGGGCCTGCTGGATGGGCCGAGCAATGGACCGGTTGTGAAAAAAAAAAAAAAGGGTCCACGTCGATCCAGTAGGTAATTCAGTATGTAGTGACTGTAATGTAGTCCCTACAACTTTAAATGCATATAGATTCCAATATATCATTTAACAAAGGAGAGACAATCAATTGGCGTATTATACGCACATTATAATAACTCCAGCAGTCGGTCCATTATTGCAAATGGACCCCAGGCAACTTCTTGGTTTTGTCATCTCTTTGCTTATCCTCTCCCTCTCCAATTCTTTAGGTTCTTCTTCTGTAACTCTACAAAGAAAAACCCAAGAAATATAACATGGATGACAGTGGAAATTTGGAGTCCAAGATGTCAAAAGAAATAAACCATGAAGCTCAAGCATCCAAGAAGAGGTAATTTTTTTTTCCAGAGTTTTGAGAAGTTCGAACTAAGGTTGCATTTATCGTTGTTTTGGTTATCAAATTACTTGTTTGTAGTCTGGATTACTTTGAATTTTCCTTGAAATCAAGAGGAAAATTTCATAGATTCTCTCTCCCCTTAAAATTTCGCAGGAAGAATATGGATCAAAGGATTGTTGTGGAAGTGAAAATGCAAGAAAGTGATAAAAAACAGAGAAGTGAAGGGCCTCCTCCGGATTGTTGGTCTTGGAGAAAATATGGACAAAAACCTATCAAAGGATCTCCATATCCAAGGTTCATTTTCTTCATTTGATTTTACTAACTCGGTCTGTTAAGGTCCTGATATGATAAAGTGCTTTCTGGGGCGTCTCAGACCTTACTATCATGATATGATCATGTGCATTTGGGTCGTCTAAGACCGTACTGTCACTGATCAAGTGTTTTCTGGGCCATCTTGAATCGATAGTGTTTTCTGATGGTCTGGTCTCGGACTAACTATCAGTAGGCCAAAAGCTTTTATCCTTGTCCTTAACTTCCACTAACCCCAACCCAACAACCAAGATAAGAACTTATTTTTCTTCTTGCTACTTGATTACAGGGGTTACTACAGATGCAGCACATCAAAGGGTTGTACAGCCAAAAAACAAGTGGAAAGATGCATAACCGATGCATCCATACTCATCATTACCTACACATCCAATCATAACCATCCAGGCCCCACTCATCATTCCTCCACCAATCAGAATCAAGAGCTCATTGAACCTTCACTCCCAGAAGTCACACAGGATATTCCTGAAATACCAGACCAAGATCAAGAACCAGAAATAAGGGATCAAGAAACCCCACTACCCAATGATGACCGTTTCCACTATTCCCTATCTCCATTCAATTCTGCCCCAGAGATCATTACGAATCAAGAAATGAAACCTTTCACAGAAAATCTGCAAAACTCATATGATTCTGATTCACACAGAGTACTTATAAATGAAGAGCCCCTTAAATATTCTCATCCAATGAACTTCTCAGCATCTAAATCAGAAGAAAACGACTTCTTTGATGAGCTTGAAGAACTACCCATCTCTTCATTTGTGACAGATTTCATGAGAAGCAGTACATTGTTTAAGGAAAGGATTCTTGTAGACCTTTCTTGAGTCCAGCATTCACTTTCAATGCTTGCAGTGTTAGTCAGAGAAACGTACTTAGCCAACTAGTTATTCATGTAAATGTAGCTACTATTTTTATTTAGCAAAATTGAGTGTCACTCTGATGCGTATGTACCATGTTAAGGATTGAGCCTTAATCTCGAGAGCAACATTCATGCACATGCTATCCGCTTGCTGATGCAGTTTCTATTAAACCGTAAAGCAAGATACAAGGTTTTCCATGCACCTCTCATGTACCAAAAACATCCCCTAAAATCCTTGCTACTGGAACGGCCTAATACGCATGTCGAATTTTCAATACTCCTAGATAAATTTAAACCCAAATGGGCCGATCCCCTGGATGCCTACGATCCCCTGCAATTCCCTGTTAGTTCCTTGTTGTCGATGAAATAAGTGTACAATATAGTTGATCTCAAGACACGGAAATGAAAAGGACAAAAGGGTAATGGTTTATAACTGTTATCTTTCCCATGACTAGATAAAGGAACTACACGAGAGTCAAGACGATTAGGGCCTAGAGATTCTTATTTCATCATTTCTTTTGGAGTGAGTCGATTTGATATTTATAACATTGGCAGTTTGGTAGACAGGATCTGTTCTGATGTCGAATCTGCCTCTTCAAAAGCAGTAAAATAGGCCTCACGTCTATTGGCACCTCTTACAATTTGTACATTTTCAACACATATTGCCACTTTTTAAAGGCTGGAGAATCCCATTTGTGGCATAAGATTCCAAAAGCATTTGATATTTTTTCCCTCCTCCCCATATATCTGGCTTCCCAGTAAAGACTTATAGGTTGCTTGAAGGAATGTTTGGCTTATAATAGTTTAACTTATTTTCCTTCATCAATATTATCTTATATAGTTCAATCCACCTTGCCAAATACGTTATTAAAATGTTTCTTTTATAACATGATTTTTTTTTATTTTTTTTTTGGGCGAACGTTTAAAAAGCTTTTAGCTCTATCCTCAATTCCACGCATGTATTACCATGTAGAAAGCATAAACAGATTTGCATATTCCACGCATGTATTACCATGTGCTCACGTAACAAGACTCGAACTGTACTGAACCATCCATAGTATTGTCTACGAGCATTATAATCAAACAAGTTCATTTCTTATAAAACATGTGACTGAACTATAAATCATAGCGAAGAAAATCTAAACTCACTTAATAAAATGATTGCCAGTATCTTCAAATCTATTCTACATGTCAAGCCTTGAAAAGGCTTAAATTAAAGGAAACTAGCAATTAACCTGAATAGCGCAAAACATGATGATTCCAACCGCATTTTCAGTATTACGCCATCAGAAAAGTGGAGTTTCACAGAGTATCATTGTTGTAGATCTCAAGCAGCTGCCAACGGCTGGAGGGCTTTCAGTGGATTAAGGATAACACCATCTATAAGTCCATATTCTTTGGCCTCTTTAGCACTCATGAAGAAATCACGGTCTGTGTCTTGGTTAATCTTCTCGAGGCTTTGACCAGTGTGGTAGGCCAAGTAACCATTCAGATTTGCTTTGTGATGCAGCATTTCATTAGCCTGAGTAACACCATGATGATTACCAGTTAAGGATCATGAGTAGTAGCGCCTTGTTAAGAATCATTCTATAGCATCATCGTAACTTCTAACTATTAGCTAACACCATCTCTACTTTTTGCTCCTTCAATTTGATAATTTTGGATAGGTGGCAATAGGCAAAGTTAGCGTTCCGAATCACAGACAATGTGAGTTATAAACATGAAGATGCATTCCTCAATTTTTAGGAGTGTAAGCACATTATTGTTTCTTTAGGAGATAAATAAAAGGAATAAGAATTCACTGAACATGACCACGTATGAACTCATACTTCACTTGAAATATAATTTTAAACTGGTGTTTGGAAAAGGAAAAAGAATGAGAGAGAGTGAAGCAAAATACCATTTTTATCTAGACTCTACTTGTACACAGGTCAAACTTACTTACAAGTGATTCTTTCTTATATGTTTGGTAAACATAAAAAATTATTTTTTTCCTCATAAGTAAAAGTACAACAAAATAAAGTAGTATCAAAATTAGAGAATATTTCAAATAAATTTGGGCACTGTATTGATTCAAACACCCTAAATTACATGACAAAATTCTCACTTGCACCTTATTCTTCTCTATCTTCCTCTATCTCGTCTTAGTCACCTTCACCTTCTCTTGCCATATGAGTAAATCCCTCCTTCACTATTCTCACCACCCCCAAAAACCCACCCTAGGGGCCCCTCCCCCCAACCATCACCATCCCCTCCCAAACTTTCTGCCACCATCATCATCTCCACCAAGTTTCACCACCACAGCCGACAAGTCCACCTTTTCCTGCCACCACCAACTCCTTCCCACTTTCCCATGCCACCATTAGCAACTAACTCTCGATCAAAAACTCTAACTTCCATATCAAAAAAATTCAAAATTCAATTAATAATCCAGCAATGAGGATGGTATGAGAGAGACGGAAAATTGTTAGAAAGAATAAGAGGAATAAGAAAAGATAAAGAATAGAGGGAAGAAGACCATATTAGACACTGGAGAGAAGGAAGAAAGGAAAGAGGCATGTCACAGCTTCCTCTTTTTTTCTTTGAGTAAATAAATATAAGTTGCAGAAATTATAATGTAATAGAAATGAATGTTGAATAAGTGGATAGTTGTGGTGAGTCCTACGAAATGTATGGTTAAAATTAATGTTTTGATTTCGACGGTTTGACTATTAAATTGTAAGGAAATTATAATGTTTCCCAAACACGCTTGAAGAAAGAAATTCAATTTTATTACCTTTTCAAGAACAGAATTACCAAGGAAGAAGATGAAAGGAGAAAAAAAAAAACGGTGGGGGGGGGGGGGGTTGGAAATTACATAACAGTAAAATCTCTAAATTAAGCCAAAAGACCTCTTAGTCTTCACCTTTTTGTCTTTTTTCTGTCCTGGTAACTTTGAATTTAAAAGTCAAATTCTTGCCACAATGAACTATATCACTTGCATGCATTAGAAATAGGGTCCACAATGTGAATACATAACTGAATGACTGGATTAAAAAAAAAAAGGGATACCTGAATATCTATATCAGTCTGTCCACCTTGTGCTCCACCAAGAGGCTGATGGATCATTATCCTCGAGTTTGGAAGGCTATACCTTTTTCCTTCAGTAACCATTAGCAAAGGAAAGAATTGTATAGAAATTTCAGCAAGTATAACCACCACCAATGGAATGTTAAACTGCTTAAAGTGAACGAAATAAATATACCTCTAGTACCCGCACTTAGTAGAAAAGCTCCCATGCTGCACATGCATAAGGGTAACAAGTTCAAGCCTAATCGTCGACATCTTTTTGTCAATTATACAAACAAGTAAGCACATCAGGAAGCCCAAAGAAACTATTTATCTAACAACTGCCAACTTAAAGGCCTCACCATGCATATCTTTGTGCATGCTGGATATCAAAGTAAGATGACTAAAACCAAACTGACATATCACAAGAACAAAGAAAAGACAACCTTGCCAGTTACTATGATGATATGCAATTTAATTTTACAAGAAACGATATATCTGTAAGATATTTTTAGTATTATAAAAATTTGATATGAACTAATGATTGATAACACTTCAAATATTTCATACCAAATCTCAAAGAAAGAATAAAGCATCTTGCCAAACATTTAGTTCATTTTATACTCCATAACTCTTGGAACTATGCCACTAAGGCAATTTAGCCATATTTACTACACCACATTGCAATAAAATAGAATTGATGTATTGTAACCTGGCCGCTAGTCCAACACATACAGTGGAAACATCTGGTCTAATATGCCTCATTGTGTCAAATACTGCCATACCTAACACAATAATTTGAAGCAAATAAGACAGATGAATGGTCAAAGCCAGAAAAGATGGAGTACAAAAGGAAAACAGATATATTACCAGCTGTAACTGATCCTCCTGGAGAATTCACATACATGACTATATCCTGTTAAATATCACAACACAATCGATAGGTAAATAATTCGCACAATTCCTATATTTCACAGTAAAAAATATATAATTAAAATAAACTGTATACATAAGTGTGCACATAATTGAATTCATGTGAAGAAATCTACACATGTTCAAGATAAATAACAAATATCAGTCAGATAGTAAGATTTCACTCTTTTTCCATGGGGTCAAAAGCTTAAGCTTAAATGCAAAAGGAAGGGCATTCAGGCTATAATTATCGCTATACATTTGAAATATAAAATAGCCAGCAAGAAAAGAATTTGCATCAGGTGATTAGAGAGAAAGCAACGCTTTCGAGAAGTATTAAATAAAGAGTTATCAAATTTGAAAGCAAGTCTTAGATTCTTCATACAGCAAAATAGTTGATTTCAGGGTGCAATACAGACTGGCAAATGCCATCATTTAGAAGAGTGTACTAATGCCTCACAAGATAAACCTCCTAAGCCATTACAGTCAAATCACATAAGGGTTATATTACTATCACAAGACTAAAATCACATAAGGGTTATATTACTATCACAAGACCACCACTGATTTCATTACTATCACAGGTGTAAGATCACTAAAATACCAAATAATAAAAAACATGAAGAATATTTATTCCCATCAAATATTGAGCAAGCACAATGTGTATGTTCTAGCATGGACTAAGATTTACAACCATTTCAACATTAGAAATAGATTAAAAAAAATTTGTACTCAATGATCTCCGCTATTTCACTAATTTTACGTATCATTAAATCAGTTACACATACAATGATTAAGTCAGGGTATGTGTGCAAATTTTCTATGTACCTGTGTAGCTCAACCAAGCTATGGACAAAAGGTGGTTATAAGAATAATTAACTAAATTTATTGACAATAAAAATCCTATCAATAGAAAACAAATTTAACAATAACAAGGCCCAAGTAAGCATACCTTAGTAGGATCAACAGCATCGAGATAGAGTAACTGAGCCACAATAATGTTTGCCATATCATCATCAACTGCTCCACCACAACGTATTATCCTCTGTAAACAAACATAATTACCATTTCACGACTAGTTAAGCCAACAGTGATTACTAATATATAAGAATTCAATCAGCAGAATAAGCCTTACATATTGAAAAAGCTGGCTGATGACACTCATGAAACGCTCTTGCACCATCGGAGGCGGCCCTTGCCCCCCTTGTGCATAAGATGGGAAGTATGGTGATGAAGGAACCTGCAAATCGTCCCTAAATACTCGAAAAAAAGAAAATTGTTAGCTTCCGTTTCATTCTTTTGTTGAAGTAATTGCATAAACAAAACTTACCTAACTGACCAAATACCCTGTCGTGAGCTCCTTTCCCGAGCATAAAACTCAGGAGAGTAGACAGCTCTCACTGAAGAACTCTTGAGCTTGGACTTTCCTAATTTTCTACTAAAATTAGAATAAAAATGAGAATTATTTCGGTCAAAGATAAACTAATCAATTGGATAGAAGTAAAATCAACCAAAATATGATACATATATACACACCCATACATACAATAATATATCGTACCTTGAACGAAGAGATTGAAAAGGGAGGAAGAAAGTTCTGGAGGAGGGTGGAGAGGAATTAAGGGTAGGGGAAGAGAAAGAAACTGAAGAGGAACTGAATCTGAGAGAGGAAGAGATGCATGAATGCGCCATTATTTGGGGTTGCTGATCGGATCTCCGCCTTAGACGGCGGCGACGCGAGATTTTTTTTCCTTTAAATGATTACTGATATTTTTGACTTAATTGTTCCAATGGCACTAAACTTAAGACAATGTCTTTTATTGGTTAGTAAAGTTTAAAATATCAAATTTTGATTATTAAATTTAGATTCATGTGTTCGATTGCTCACTGAATTTAAGTTCATGTCTTAAATTGTTCACTATAATTTAAAATGTCGAATTTTTACCAATGAACTTTGGAATATGACGTATATTACTTACTAGCATAACAGTTGAATTTTGAAAAATATCGAATTTATAGTGAGTAATGAACAATATCTTTCAAAGTTCAATGAGGAATGTACAATATTTTTCAAAGCTCAATGTCCAAAACTCGATATTTTAAATTTCAGTGAGCAGTCGAAGAGATTAACCTAAGTTTAGTGTTTAAAACTCAACATTTTAAACTTTAGTGAGCAAGAGATTAACCTAAGTTCAATAGTCAAAACTCGACATTTTAAATTTCAGTGAACAATCAAAGGTATGAACCTAAGTTCAGTGACCATTAAACAATTAACTCTATATTTTTCCCAGTTTTTTCAACCAGCACTCGCATTGATTGGCGCTCATGGCCCTTGGTGAAATGCGACTTTTTCTACGTTGAATTGAAGGGAAATATTTGTTTAAATTAACCAACGAGCTCCGCCATTCGTTTTTAAGTTCATTGGGATGATATTAGAAACTTAGCCCATGTTTATTGATATTAAATTAAAATTTTAAATCAAAATCAATAATTATTTTTAACGACCCGTTTCACTAGATCTGTTGTAAAAGTGAGAAAAAGAAAAGAAAAAATATGAGTTGATAGACTTTTTATGTGTTTTATTAAGAACAAAATCCATATATTTATAGATAATGATTAAGAATACAATGGTAATAGTTTCTAGGACTGTAAGTCAATAAACTTTTTTGTGTATTTTATTAAGAATCAAATCTCTATATTTATAGCGAAAGATTAGGAACACAATGATAATAATTTCTTTGACTGTAGGAATACAGTTATTTTGGAGTATTAAACATAAATGCTACCTCATTAAGACCTTGTTATACACACTACAAAATAATTTTAACGAGACTGATATTCTATAATGTGTATAGTTATTTTGGAGTGCCAAAAATAAATATTATTCATTAAAATCTTGTTAGAAAAATCCAGGGAGATAAAACATGAACAAAGGCAAAAGAGTTCAGTCACTCTCCTTGACGCTGATTGCTGAAAGTCTTTAAGTCGACGCATTCCAATCTCATGAACAAATTTCTTGAATGTAGATGTTGGCAGTGTTTTTACGATTAAATCAGTCACATTGTTACTTGAGGGAATTTGTTGAATATCGATGTCACCATTCTTTTAATGTTCATGTGTATAAAATAATTTTGGAGAAATATGTTTCATTCTATCACATTTGATATAGCATCTTTTGAGTTGTGTAATACACATTGCATTGTTTTCATATAAAATTGTTGTACTATTTTTTGTTGAAGTTAATTCGCGTGATTTTTGAATATGATGGGTCATGTTTTTCAACCATACATATTCTCTACACGTTTCATGAATTACAATAATTTCAGAATGATTTGGCGATGATGTTGTCAAAGATTATTTCATAGATCCTCATGATATAATTGTTTCTCCACGTGTGAATACATATTCTGTTTGTGATTTAGTTTTTTTGTGGATCAGATGGATAACCTGCATCTGCATATCCTATTAAAGCAGATCCCGACTTTTGAGAATAAAAAGTCGGAAATAAAATAATCTCAAATCAATAATACCCTTTAGGTAATGAAAATATTTTTCATCACTCAAAGTCTTTGAGTTAGTGTACAGTAGCTAGAGCTATATCTTGTAAGAAAATTTACAGAAAAAGTTACATCGAGTCGAGTGCGTTTTAAGACTTTTTCTGTATATGTGATTGACGAATAAATAATCATTTTAGGAAATGTTTAATCTGCAACTTGAGACGGAACTTGATTTTACAAAATCTTTCATTTGAAATCCACTTTTCAAATAATTTGCAATTTTGTTGAGTTATTCAAGAATTTCAATTAAATTTAAATTATTAACATAAATTACTACAATTGCAAATCCAATATGTGTTTTCTTTATGAAAACATATGGACAAGCATCATGATTTTTATGATTATCTTTTAACAAATATCTACTAAGATGATTATACCACATGCGTCCGAATTGTTTCAATCCATATAATAATCTTTACAATTTAATTGAGAACATAATTCTTGAACATGTATTGTTTGCTCTCGGTATTTTTAAGTCTTTCGGGGACATTCGTATATATTTCATTATCAAGTGAACCATACAAATAGACAATTAATACATTCATAAGGCGCTTATCGAGCTTTTGTGATACGATCAAGCCATTTAAGAATCTAAAAGTGATTGTGTTCATTACGGGAAAATATGTTTTCTCATAAGCAATTATTGATTTTCATGAGAAACCTTGAGCTACAAGTCAGGTTTCGTATCTTAAATTTTATTTTCTATTTTTCTTTTTCGTACAAAAACTCATTTGTATCAAGCGGAGATTACATTTTCAGGTATTCAAACTACAAGTTCAAACACTTTTCTTTTCTCAAAGAAATTCAATTTCGCCTATATGACTTCTTTTCATTTTGGGCAATATTTCTTTGTTGACAGTCTTTAGCATACTGTAGTTTAGGATCCTCATTTTGCATAATATCAATAGCATATTTTTCAATATTTTTTTTTGTTGACAGTCTTTAACACATAATTTATTGAAATCTCATTATTTTCGGACACTAGTGATTTTTAGGGAACCATATTTTTAATATTTGATTAATAAATCTTTTCCAAAGTTACTTTTTCTGAAGTTTTTGGCTGATTTTTCTCTCGTACCTTTCTTTTTTGAGGTACGAAATCTTTTGAACTAACTGGTCAACCACGCTTCTAACGTAATTGAGATTCATTTACTATGACAGATTGTCTTTTAGAGACATCAATTTTGCTGTAGTATATCCTGTTGGTATATATGACTTTATTACTTTTCTTATGTCAACAAGTACATCATAATTAATTTGCAACATTTTGTAAATAAATGATTTTTTCAACATCTTGCTCACATTGATTGTTGTGGAATCAAAGTGATATAGAGTAGTTTTATTCTAATAATTTTTACCTTATTTGTCATAACGTAATTTTTTTCCTCCCAAAGATATGAAAGTCATTTAATCAAAATGACAATCTACAAAACGTACAGTAAATAAATTACCCATTAAAAGTTCAAAATACATAATAATAGATGGTGAATCAAAACCCATATAACTTCCAAATTTTTGTTAGAAACCATTTTAGTACGTTGTGGAGGGGTGAAATAGGGACTTAGACAGCACATCTAAAAACCCGTATGTGAGAAATATTAGATTTATGATCAAATGCAAATTGCAAAGATAAATATTGATAATAGGTAGTAGGTCTCGTGTGAACCAATGATGCAGCATGTAATATAATATGACCCCAAACAAAAACAGAAAGTTTTGTTTTAAGTAATGGTCTATCAATAAGTTGTAGATGTTTAATAAATGGCTCTACCAAACCATTTTTTGTATGAATATACGCAACTGAATATTCAATAACAATCTCTATTGACATACAATAATCATCGAATGCTTGTAATCTGAATTCACCGACATTGTCAAGACGAATTGTCACGATTGAGTTATCGAGAAATTGAATTCGTGATTTTATGGTTTAAGCAAGTAGTTTCGCAAAAGCTACATTTTTAGTGGAAAGTAGGCAACACGTGATTATCTAGTAAAAGAATCAATTAATACCGTAAAAATAATAAAATGGTCTACATGGGACTAACATGTATCTCCATGAATTCTTTTTAAGAAAGTTGGAGATTCAATATCGACATTTTTACCCAAAGGTTTGATGACTAACTTGCCTTGCGAACAAGCTACACATGAATAATTATTAGGCAAAATAATCTTCTGACTCTTTAAAGGATGTCCATGTCTGTTGTTTATTATTTGACATATCATTATAGCTTTTGGATGTTCAGGTTAATCATGCCAAGGTATAAAAATATTTTGGGTCAATGAGCTTCTAGTTCGTGATAATATTTGATTCAACCATTTTTACAAATATATAATACATGCCAGATGAAAGTGCATGAAGTTTCTTTTATCTGATCTAGAAAGATACAAAAGAAGTTATCAAAGATATTCAACATTATTTTTTAATATCATCTCACTATGATATTTATTGCAGCGGGTATCTTTAAAACTAAACAAATTTCTTTTGAATTTGCTAAAATAAAATGTATCGTCAATATATAATTTTGTATTAGTTAATAAAATAGTACAAACTCTTTCGGAGCTTTCAACGATATTCGATGCACTTGATATTGTATTAACATTATTTTCTGCTAATGTTAAGTCCAAAAAATATATTTAAAAAAAAATAGTATGTGTAGTTGTACTATCAATCAAACAAGTATTTTGCAATTCATCGTAAATCTATAAAAATATTAATGATATATATATATTATGAAATTAATGATGAACGATAAAGTTTCAAATTTGTAGAAACATATTTCAAGTGGAATTTCTAAAACAAAGGAAAATATTATAAAGTAAATTAATCTATAATTTCCACCACACCACCTCCTATTAAATGGTCAATATTTCCATTTGGATCAGTAAAGAAATTAGAGACATCTATCAGATAAACCATGATATCAATAAAATCTGTTTCAACTATTTTCTTTCACTTGATTATTTTTTATAGAGATCCACAAGTTGTTTTGTCCTACGACAAGTATATGCCCAATTATCTTTCATTTAACATTTAAAGCAATTTTCTTTGTACCCCTTTTTGGATGTGCTACTTATACCTTTTGAAATTGTTGTCTTGTTGCTAATAGTTTTGTCGATTATTTCGTTCACGGTTTATTCCATGTGTACGTCCAAATTCGTGTTCATGTCCATGTTCACGTATACGTCTTTGTCTTGATATTGCATTTACTTCAGGCAATGGTATAGAACCAGTTGGACGTAACCTATGATTTTTTATCAGCAGTTTATTATTTTATTTAATCATAAGCGGACAAAATATAAGTTTTGAGTACTCTTTGAAATGATGCTCACGAGCTTACCATTGCAAGAGTGCATTCAAGGTATGAAAGGTGGAAAAAGTTTTCCAACATATTTTCATGAGTGATTTTTCCTTTACAAAATGTCAATTTCGAGAATATTATGAACAGTTAAGAAGTGTCCTCACAAATAGTTTTGAAATCTTGCAAAAGCAGGTACATCCACTTTTAATGGACTTTAGGGAAGACTATAGTCATCTGATGATCAAATTTAATTAATTTTTTTCTAAAGAACATGTGAATCTTTCTTGGCGAGATATTCAATTCTTAATTTATCGTGAAGATGATGATGAAGGAAGATGAGTACTTTTGCACGATTCTACAGGAATTCTTTGCTTCATTCTTTTATTGTCTCTTCTAAACATTTTTTAGACAAGATTAATATTAATATTAAGTATCCATGATAAATAATTTTTGTCTGATATGTACAACAAACTCAAGTTTTGTGACATTTGCCATGTGATTAATTACACAATAAAGAAAAGAAAATACAATTAATTTCAAAAAATATGATGAAACATAACATAATAGTTAATCAAGCGATCAATATCATGATATAAGTTATACGTGTTCCTTCAAAGATAAATACTAATTAAAAATAATATATTATTCAAAACATGTGCTACTTCTAGAGCATGTTGTATTTTAATATGCTTTTTCAATAGCAATATGTAAATATTATTCTCGAATATTGAAAATTATAATTCATGCTCTTCAGGAGCAAGTGATATTATTCTGAAATATTAATTAATGTTGTACTACTTCAGGAGCAACAATGAATTATTATTTAGAAACATCAACTCTTCAGAGCATGTTTTCTAGTTGAATGTTAAAATTTACAAAGTTATGCTTCTTCAAGAACAACAATCTAATACATTGTCATGTTTTCTAGTTGTTAAAATTTCCAAAGTTTCATCGATTGTTGTAGATTGTTTCAACCACAAAATTCATATTGATTTCAACAGGAATTTCATCCAATAAATAATGCATGTTTATATAAAAAAATTTACATGTCACTAAATTGATTTTGGTACATATGATAGATATTTACGCTTATAAAAAAATTACTACCTTCACGAGACTTTGTAGAATCAAACTTTCATGTTGATAACGTGCTATAAAAATGAGAAAAAGATAAGAGAGAATACAAGTCATAGATTTTTTGTATATTTTATTAAGAATCAAATTTCTATATTTACAGGGAAGGATTAGTGATACAATAGCAATAGTTTATAGGATTGCAGTGGTACAATTATCACTCACTAATGAACTTACCATTTACAACATGATTCACAATTTTTCAACAACACATTTTATTAACTTTTATCTAAATTTACTAAAATTTTAATTTTAATATAGACTTAACAAGAGCTTAATAGTTTGCGATAAAAATAAATAAATAAAATAAAACCATGGGGAGAAATCCACCCCTCACCCCGCCCAGCTCACAAAGTCATGGGTCCTTGGTGAGCAGCAATAATTTATCGAACAAATTGAGTTGTCATGATGATATCTTTCTAAGTGACCTCCACAAAATATGCTAAATGACGGGACAAGATGTGAAGAGCTACGTTTTTATTAGTTGATTTAATGGTTTTTAAGAGTCTATTTGATGTAAAAAAATTTATAATAGATTTTATGAAAATAGACCTTTTTTTTTTAATGACAAATACGTGATTAAAAAGTATGAAAAAGTTATAAGACCACATACAAAATTATTTTATTAAAAAAATGTGAAGTTGAAAATAATTAAAAAAAAATACTAAAGAATTTGTACCATACATGGGCTAAATTATGGACCAACTGTTAAAAACCAGAAAGTCACTAACAGTGCTTGTAATCCATCGCTAGTAGGAACACATTTCTTAGCAGACTAGGCCAGGCTAAAAAAATTGTGAAGATCGACACACTTGAGTGTTGAAAGCTATGAAATATGTATGCAGAAATTGGCACAATATCGAGTAGTGGTTTAAGCAGCCAGCAAATGATAAAATAACACACAAATTTACTAGATGAAATTTTAAGGACAGGTTTATCTTCAATAACCACATTCAAAAACAATACAATAATAACATGCACGAAATACCAATTAAAGGATCTTCCCATGTTAGCAATCCACCTAACAAAGGAAGCTAATTTTATAATGCATAATAAAAATGAGTTCAGTTGCTCTAATAAAAGAAAATTTCCGAGCATGTTTGGTACATAGTGTGTCTTAATCCACCTGACAAAACATACCATCTTTCTAGCAAGTTCAATTTCAATTGCCAACACTATCTTGATTACTATATTATTTCTACATTATGTAAAAGACACTTGGTTTCATTGGGTCTCCAATGCCTCTATATATTAACATAAATGTGCAGGAATAGCTGCATAAACTACATCAATTGCAAGACACACATTTTTAGGAGGCCTTCTCAGATTGCATTTTTTCATGAATTGCCTTGTAGCATTGGAGACTGCAAAGAGGAAGCTTCGACTTTGAATCACGGTATTTGTAAGGATTTGTACAAGAAGGACCAGCACACTTTTCGCGAGGAGGAGGATAGCTGGAATGTCAAAACTAACATGAAATTAGTGTCATTTCCAGTTATATTCGCCAGTGAGAAATGCACATGTATGGCCTATATATATTCGTGCACATGTTCACGGAGTGCATGTTTGGTATGCATTATTAAACATCATTACACAATATAACAGACAGGATCATGGCTTTTTTAACTTCCTCAAAGTGTCCAATACCATCCTATCCTCCCTACAAAAGAGGAAATGAGACGGAAAATATGCAAGCTTTTCACTTGTGGAAGGTTTTATCTTTACACCAATAATTTCCAAGAAATATCATCAAGCTTAACTGCATAGAAGACAATGAATTTTACCTGAGGGGTTTGGAGTCAAAAATTTTAGGCAAACCCATATCTTGTGGGAAAGTAACAATGGTACCAGTAGACTGCATAGTCCATCTAATTGTATTTGATGCAAGTGTCTTTGCATTAGCAACCTTCTCCTGAATAATGAATAACAAATAATCAGCTATTAGTTTCACAATATATTTGGAATAGCACCTTCTCAAGATACATGGCACTTACCTGTGCCAACTCTTCCAGGCGCTTCTTTCTTTTGTCTTCTTTCTTCTTTCTACTAGAATCTTGAGAGAGAATTTTTCTAATTGCCTCAGCCTGCAGGATTTAACATGCATGCTTGTTTCAAATATAAAATTCTAAAACCTAATATTAAAGAAGACAATGAAGAGAAGTAGAAGGAGAGTAAACCTCCAACTCCCGAGCCGCTTTCTCATTTTGAATTTTACGTTTCTGAGCGGCCTCTGCTTTTTTTGTTTGCTGCTCGACTTCTGAGAGTTTCTCCTTTTGCTCTGCAATACAGGAGATAGGCAGTGACAAGTTAAACAGCAACATCCCAGGGAACAACCAACAGGATTCACAATGGATAACACATCATACTCACTTCGAGGTGGTAGTGGTAAACCATCCGGGAATTCAATTTGACTCACGCCAGGTGAGGAGGCATCCTTGCCGGATAAAAGGGCTCGCTGGCGGGTTGTGAGAGTCATCTCCCTCTTGCTTTCAATTTGTATATCTGAGAGATCCTTTTGTTTTTTCTTCTTCTTACCCTCAGGCTCACCATCAGACAACAGTTCATCCTCATAATCAATGCCTTCAACTGCACTCTCAGAATTGAATTTCTTAGGGATCCTCGGAAGATTATGTTGGTATTTTGTTGATTCAGTCTCCAAATCTTTGTATCTTCCAACCTTTGCATTCTTCAGTTTCTTGAGGTACCGAATTTCAGCATCATCATCCTCATCAAATTCCTCATCCAAAACATGTCTCTTAGGAGCCCTCTTACTCTTACGAACTGGAACCAACTTCTCCCCTTGCTTCTCAAAGGCATTTTTTGCAGGCATCTTATTGATGTCCTCCTTCCCAAGATTAAAGCCGCCTCCAGAGAAATCCTTCCACGGGATCCCTTGCAAACTACTTTTTCTATCTAGAGATGTAGAATGATCACGATATGAATTCTCCTGAAATAATAAGAAAATTTCACAAATGGAAAGATTTTATGTTCACAAATAGCCAAATGTGTTAAATGACATTCAACATTCATGAACCTCGAGATTATTTTCCATACAAACAGATTTCTTAATTTATTCCCCTGCTAGATGAATCAATCATTCCATGTGCACAGTGGTCTCATATCATTAGAACCAAAATATATGTAATCAAGCATCATCAAATTTTTCATACCGTTGGTCAGCTGAAGTAAATGCCAAGAGTCAGAAGATTTCAATAATAAAACTTGGCTTTTCCATCGGGATTACTCAGGTGGAAATTTTTTATTTTTTTAAGGAAATATTCTTGATGTGCTTGGATTATATATAAATTCACTTCCAGTTTTTCACGCTCTTACAACATAAGTTTCTCCATAAGGGTAGATTGTCATCTAGCAAGCCCTTCCTGGTTAATGTGGCTTATTCTTCCAATCAAGGCATGGCACTAAGAGTGTGTTTGGTGGTGCTTAAAATTAGGAGTTACTTTCTAGAAAATTAAGTTTCTTTAGACTTAAAACGTAACTTTTGAAAATCATGTTTGGCAAAATAAGTAACTTTTTTGAGCTTAGACAAACACGCTTTAAACATATGACACGAAATCAAAGACCAAAATAAAGGTGAAATAATAGCCAAAATGAATTGAGTCCAAAAGATTTCCGCAGGCAAAGAAGATTCCCAAATCTATAATCAAGAAACAAGAGTGCAAACCTGTATAACGAGATTCTGCCTTGCTCGACCAATGTTTGACGATTGATCGATCTTAGCCAAAGACCCATCGCTTGATGAACAGTTGGAACTGGATTTGGTTTGAATCGTGTGCATTACACCACCAACCTTCAACGTAACCTTTTTCGGCTTGTTCTCATTTGCCGTTGCATCCCCCAGTACACCATTACTGAATAACACATTTGGTCCACCATCAGATCCACTCGCTGGAAAGCCCCTCGATATACACTGATTAAGATTGAAAATTTTCCCTCTAGAATTAGCATCTCCGATATTCTCATCACTTGACACTTTACTCATTTCATCTGAAAGTGGAGTTGATGGCATGGGAGATCTATCAGAGAGTGGCTGTGACTCAGGTATAGATCGGTGTGAAATCTGGCTCCTCCTTTTTCTTGCAGCGATCCCAATAGCGGCAAATTGAGGAGCCCTAAATTGATTCATTGTCTTGAGAGATTCTCAATTCTGATTTCTACTGTAACACTTGTGCCTATTAAATGCCAAAGAACAGTAATGGTATATGAGCCACGTAGAGCCTCAAATGCATTAAGTCTGCATCGAAAAAATCGAAATTTCAGGCCAAGACCATATAAGCCCTTGAAAACTTCTACTCTTACAACCAATTGACAATAGAATGACAAAAAATAAAAATAAAACCTCAACTATGATTTCGAAGGGTAAAATGAATACATACAATTTCTGGAGCGAATTTTAGAAACCAATAACATTATCAAAAGCTATACAATTGACGCAAAGGGGCATCGAGAAATCTTAAGTTTATATCCATATCGTACATATTAAGCCAAAAAATGCAAAGAAAGGCACAACAACATTGACAAAACTAACATAAAGATCAGTAATCCCTATTTCAAAACAATTAAGGAACTAAAAGCACCTCAATGAAACAAGGCAATTCACAAACACTGGCCATTGCAACAAAGAAAAGTAAATTATCAAAATCCCATAGACCAATACTATAAAATAAAGCTAATCAGTGACATCACTTGATAATAAACTTCAAAATGATAAAAATAAAAAATAAAAAATAAAGAAAACTTATTGAACAATTGGACTTGATCTTATATAAACACCCACGTTCAATTTCCACATTCCAGCAGCCCAAGGCCTTACATTACAGAAATCTAACGTAAGCACCCAAACCCACATGCACCAACGCATTAATCCAACACAATCAACCCCTTTCCCAAGCCCATCATCCCACAAAAACAATGTATCACAGACAGAGAGAATTCACCTACTGAATTAAGCCCAAATCAACAATACAAAACCGTTCAATTACACGTAAAATCGCAAAACACAAACGAAGGAAAGCGATTTACCTTGCAGATGAAAAAGAATGCGACAGAGAAAAGACAGGATACAATAGAAAACGAGCGAGAGAGAAACAGACGATGTAGTTGAGGCAGAGAAAACATGGTTTTGGTGTATGATATTGATATGTATTCGTAGATACAGAGATGGAGAGAAGAAGAAAGAGAAAGAAAAAAAGGGATTTGTGTGTTAGGGTTATGGATATTGATATGGGGGTCTGGTAACTATAGTAGTAGTAGTAGTAAAGAAGACTCTCAATTTCTTTCTTCTCCATCTTTTTTGCACTACACCTCTTTGTGTGTGACAATGTGTGTGTTTTCGTGGGAGGATTTTTTCCTTTGTGTGCTCCTCGGTCTCCTGACTCAGTCAGGTCATGACGAGTTAACTCGCCTCTCTCTCTCTCTCTCTCTCTCCCCCTCCGTTAGTCTTCTCTTATAGTTTCCCCTTCTCATGCTGCAATTACATGCGTAGGTTAACGTTAACCTACGCACCGGGTTTATTTTAGCAACTCTGGGTCCCTCCACGTGTGAGTTCTTCGTGCGCAAATGATTCATTTTTTCTTCCAAATTCCTTATAATCAAAATAAACATTTAAAATTTTTCATTTTGATAAGAAACTGCAAGTCTCAACCCCAGTGTTCGTGGGAATCTCACTCACTCTTTCTCATTTCAATACTAAATGGGAGCCTAGTTCAATGGCAGCTTTATTTCCAATTAGGAAAGTTCGAAGGCGCTTTTCTGCTGATTCGTCCTAAGATAAGGAAACATCAATAGTTGTAGTTGTGGATAGGACTTTCGTTCTTATTGCTCCAAATTTCGATCGCTTATTCCTCCAACTTTGGATACCATACATTTTGCAATTCTTAACTTAATAAGGATTTCAAGCGATCTCCTTTGCCATTGCATGACTAGATCATATTACATAGATAGACAAAAAGACAACAAAAGAAGATGAAAATGACGGGTTTTGGAAACTTTTTTAAAGGTATTCATATAGCCTTTGCATAGTCTACGAATTCTACGATGCCAACACAAGTACTTGATATAACCAAATTCTATTTTCGCTCCTAGTATATTTTTGATAACCCAGTGTTTATAAATTGATGTAAGAGGACCTATCAGATATATGGAGTTTCTTTCTATATATTATATGGATGATCCGATTTGCAAGGACCTTGATTGGGAATTATTTGATCGGACAAAGAAATAAAATAGAATCAACTTGAATTTGTTAAGAAAATGATGACTTTTCCCAAATGAAATGAAAATTGAATTCATCTAACAAGAGAATTCGTTCCTCCTTCCTATGGGTTTCCCCAATGACCCATTGACACAACAATCATGCCTAGTCTAACTAGACCATATGGCTGTTTGCAGTACCTAGATACAAGGAAATAGAACCAAAGTCAATCTAGGAACCTTACAAAACCACCATTTATTGTAAAAGAGTAACTGATTCCTTTATTTGTCACCCGGGAATCAATTGTATGCACCATACAGCGCCTTTGCCTAGAATGTAAGCAGATATATCATGTTTATTGCTCTCTCGAGACCAGGAGGAAAAGAAAGAAACGAAATAGCTGGAAATGAAATATCCCACAAAATCATTTTTTTTTTAAAGGTTTAAGTTCTCTATTATCAAAATAAATCAATCTTTTAACGACTAATTAGTTTTTATGAGTACGTATTTGAATAAAAAGTTTAGTTTTATTGGTTAAAATTTATCGGGTTGTTTTTCTTTTTCTTATTTCTTTTTGTCGTTTTAAGATTTGAGAATTGAGAAGTCTTAATCTGGTTTTGATTATCAAATTATAGATGAAGTTTGATTTGACTTTATAATTATTAGATGAAGTTTAATATGATTCTACATAATTAATTTTGATTTTATTTTAAAATTATAGATGAAGTTTAATTTGATTTTAGAATTATTTTTGAACCTCCATATTAAATTATTTTTATACTAATATATATGAATTAACAACTATTGCAACTAATAAATATTGTCATTCCAAATAGAAAGCATGACGGTGAAATAAAAATTAAAAATTTTGCAAGCAATTTATTCTTTACGAATTATTTTTTTATTTATGGTTTTTTCTTTTTTTCTGTAAACATCATTGTACATCAAAATCGTTTGATTTCATGTATAAAATTATTGGTACTCAATTTCCTTCGAAATCAAAGTGAATTGAATAATCTCCATATCGTTTGGATATGGAGATTCAAAAGTTAGCACTTGTTTAAGCCCCATTTTTTTGGGAATAATGAATTTTTGAATAGTGTATTGATGGAAAATGTGTACTTAAAGAAAATGGAAAAATTTTGAATTTTCGTGAAATATTATTTTATTGAAAAATGTTATTGAAATGATGTCAAAATACTGTTGAAAAATATATTTTTCCAAAAAAATAAAACTCAAACAAGAGCTTAATTTTCAAAAGGCAATCGATTAAATACATTAAACAGAAAAGATGAAACTAAAAACAATGGGTTTTTCAAAAAATTTAATCTTTAATCCGTAGGAAATATTATAAAAATAAATATGATTTGTAATTCACCTCCAGAGCATTGTTACTCTTTTATGAAAATACGAGATCATTCCCCCGAACGTGTAATCATATATTCCGAAGATAGTCATTTCTTACTCTTATATTCAAACAATGCGTACAAGTATAAAGTTACACGAAGATGATAGTAATATTTTTATTTTTTTTTTCCTATATAAAACTTTGCCTGCTTTTTAGTGGGTATTTTTGGGAAGACAAAGGAATGATATTTGCGGTCTAGCCCTTGCCTCTTCTTCCTCTAAATAGCATCCAACCTTGTTCACGTTCTATTTGCTTTTAGCTTTGCTCCAGTCATCTTAGCCTATAGTTTCCAACTTTCTCATAGTTCGTCACTCTTTCCCGCTCTTTCATCTCAAGATGCCTAATCACCATGTCAATCACTTAGAAGAGGCAGGTTTCGAAGCCTCAACGACTAGTTTAGTGGGAGGTACGGATCACAATTTAATCCAATTCACAGTCGACGCTCTAAAGGTAAGAAACACGAGACTATCACTCATTGAAAGAAATGAAATTATCATGTAGACAATGCATTGAAAAGTTGGATGATTTTCTCAATGTAGAAGCAATCAAGAACACCGTGCAAGTAAAAGTACACGACTTAAAAAGAAAAGTAGGTTAATCACAAAAAATCTTGATTTAACAATGCAAAGGGCCACTGAGAAGTGTGCGTTGTAAGTCATGACATGCAAGAAATGTTAGAATTCAGATAAATCAAGGTATGAAGAAAGTATATACTGCAAATCATAAAAAGGTGAGAAAATAACAGGGAGTCCAGTTAAAAAGAGAGATCAAAACATATATACAAAGTTTCATCCCGAGGTGTAGAGAATGACCAACATATGGGGAAAACTGACCAAAAGTTCTCTACAGGGTACGAAGGGAACATCAATTCTCAGATCTCACCAAATAGAGTTACAGAAATTCAAATCCTATCCACCATCCGGTCAATTAGATGCTCTGAAGCATTCGATCCACCACAAAAATACTTATCGTCCTTCATGAAGATCTTCAGATAATACGGCCCTCCTAACAATGTTATCATTATCGAAAGCACTATAACCCGAATGAGGACCAGAAGAAAAAATGGATGATGTTCCATCAGACTCAAAGGTGGTGGATGACTGCCTAAGATTGGGTCCAGGATGGGTAGTTACTGCAGAATCATGATACTCCATTGCACGCTGCACCATTTTAAGTGACTGCACCACTTCTCCAATCGTAGGCCTTTGGCTTGCTTCTGAGGCAACACAAGCTGCTGCAATTGTGCAAACCCGTATAAAATCTTCCTTTGGGTACTTACTATCAAGCCTAGGATCAACAAGTTCTTCCAATCGATCCTTGTCTCTAAGTATTGGCCTAGCCTGAAACCAAATGAAGCACCATAAATGATTACTTTATAACCAGCTAATGGAATTTTTATCATTCAGTAATTGATTCATCAGATGTTAAAAGATCATCATGTGGCTGGACAACATATTAAAATTTCTATTAACATATGAAAACGTGAAATGTAAAAGATTAAAGATGGAGTAAAGATTTGGGAATATAACTACCCAAGTAACAAGGTTCTCTTGTCCTGAGGGTTGCGACATATCTACAGGTTTTCTACCAGTCAACAATTCAAGAAGAACCACTCCATAGCTATATACATCACTTTTCACTAAAAGGTGCCCAGTCATTGCATACTCTGGGGCTACATACCTGTAAAACAAAGAGTGCAGTTCAGTGCATAATGCATATACAATCTTGGTGTAACGAGAACTTTGACTGAGAAACTAACCCAAAAGTTCCCATGACACGAGTAGACAGGTAATTTGCCCTGCCTTCAGGAGCCAGTTTTGCAAGGCCAAAATCAGAAACTTTTGCATGAAAATTGTTCTCAAGCAAGATATTGGATGACTTGAAATCTCTGTGAATAACACAAGGTTGTGAGTCCTCATGCAAGTATGCAAGTCCTCTTGCAGCATCAAGAGCAATTTTCATTCTTGTGTCCCAATCCAGCGGGCAGTTCAGACCCAAGGGACCTGCAACAGAATAGGGCAGTTAAAAATCACCCGTTAAATCACGTCAGTTATGATATATGTGGATGTTAGCATGATTTTTAGACTAAGAAATAACATGTCATGAACAATTACCATGTAGCCAGGCCTCCAAACTTCCATTTGGAACAAGCTCATAACATAGTAGGTTGGAGGAATCACGATTAGTATAGTAACCAACAAGTTTCACTAGGTTACGGTGATGCAGCCTGCTAAGCATCTCAACCTCAACCAAAAATTCTTTATCCCCTTGTTGACCACCACTAGTAAGCCTCTTTATGGCTACAGCTGTACCATCAGATAATACACCCTTGAAAACTCTTCCGAAGCCACCTTCTCCTAGTATGCTAGCAGGTTCAAAGTTATTTGTAGCTTCTTTTAGTTCTTCATAAGTAAGAAACCGTGTACTTGTAGGATGGTGAAGAGATCCTCCTGCTGGAACAGCATCCACATTCCTTGCCATTGCTATTAAAGGATTCAAGAATTATAGAAAGACAGGTGAGATCCAAGTAGAAGAAGCAAGTATATGATAACTGAATCTGACAATATTACATACCAGCTTCTTTAAAAGGTTCTGTTTTCCTCCCTTGATGAGATGTGCACAAACAAATTATAAGCACGGAAATAATAGCAATAAGTAGAATACCAGCTCCAATTCCAATTATAAGAACTAAACTTGGGCGTTTCCCTTTGTCTGAAGTGGCAACAGCTGCAGGAGTTGAGGGCAGGTGCGGAGGTGTTCCCACTGGAGGCTTAGAAGAAACAGGAGCTGTGAAGCAGACAAAAAATAATAATTTCAGCTTTTCCTGTTTTCCCCCCTTTCCTTCTGGAGAGAAAGTGGGGATCACATTTAAAACCAAGTGAACAAACTACTAAACTATAGAATCAAAGCCCAACTTTTTACAGCAGTCTAACTTATATTTGATGATCAAATCATCAATTTAATCAAATATTATTTAATACACACCAAATTCACCTTTAGTTTTGCTTCACTTCATCTTGCTGTTTAATATATTTACATGAAGAAGACAAAGGATTAAGCTTCCCATCTCCCATCTCTAACTTTAAATGCTCAAATTATTTTTCGGTCACATTACATGTCACCAAGTTTTGGCAATTGAGGAATAACAAATCATGAGTCGGTTGGAGGAAAAATTAGCATATCATGTAAATATATAATACACTCAACATAAAGGCACCTTGAGATGAAACTGGGGGCTTAAACCAGGTTATGTTGAGAAGTTGGTAGTCACCCACTAAAGCAGGATCTAGATGGACCTTGTGCATAGACAGCGAAGAGTTAATTCTAGCAGCTTCACTGGCGGAAAAGGTAATCCCTTTAAGTGGAGTAATGTCCATCGATATATTAAGTCCCGATATACCAACAATATAAAAATTAATAAGCTCGATCTGTGAAACCTGCAAATCTAGTCGGGCAGCAAATTGTTCTAGAAAAAGATTCCAATTTGGATTAGACGAGACATTCACAAGAAGAATATCAAGCTTTATTGGATATACACAGTGGCATCCCTTGCTTTCTCGTTTGAGCACCATGTCTGGTCCACAACAGTCTGCTAAGACGGAAATACCATATTAACATATTGGCAATGCAAAATGGGAGGAGTGATAAATTATATTATGAGATAACAGGAATTATTTTTACTTGATTGTGAAAATATAAAAAGGATAATTCATTTTTAAGTGAAATATAATCAATTTAACAGTTCTTGCCTCTAGAAAATGGATCAAAGAGAATCTAAGCTTACTGGAGATGTTAGTAGATAGTGGCGGCTGAGCTAAAGCGGCAGGTAGAGTAGTGGGTGAAGGTTGAGTTGGGGCAATCTCCGACAAACGTGGAGGTCGAAGGCTGGTTCTGAGAGGCACTGATCCACTCTTCTTCATAGATAGTTTCAACAAACGTGAGCTTGAAGCGGGGGAAGATGTTATAAAAGGACCATAATGAGGAGGCTGTGCAGATGTTGGTACACGGCCAGGTGCACCGTGAGGAGCAAGAAGTTTCTGGCGAGCTTTATGAAATAAAGGCAGGTTGGATGGTTGGGGAAGCTCAGGCATAGCAAGAGCTGTCAAAGGCACTGCGACTGGAGACAGAACTTGTGCTTCCAATGGTTTATTCAGTAAGTCAGCATCTGTGATGGATAACACATAACATAAAACAAGCAACCCCTTCAAGATTGACCAGCAGATATCTTGCACCAACCCTGATTTTATGTTGTAAACCATGTTAAACGAGTTCGCAAACCATAACAGGGGAAGGAAAAAGTTAAAAGATAAGAAAATATAAACTCTTGCTCGAAATCAAGAACCAATTAAAAATGGTTCTATTTCTCTGTCCAAATATTTACATAATTATGTGGCTTTCTAAATTGCTGCAACAAATCTGAGAAGGGGATATTATGGTGCAAATATGCTTGAGCTCTATCTCCTTCTTTTAGTAATATAAAAAATAGGAAATTCTTTGGTATTCTCCATGTTGAATCGGGTAAAATTCAATAGTCTATGCTTTGCATTGGTCACAACTTCACCATTATTGTTTATATATACCTGTGAGTTTGAAACAAAAATCCCTTACTTTTTGCCAAAAAGCACCTTCAACAATTAAATTAGAACACCTTATTTTCCCACAATCGTACAGTAGCTTATGCATCTGTAACATAAATTTAGGCTTATATATCCCCAGTACCCGAATTTGAACTCAAATATCGTCCATAATAGAATTAACTTTTCAAAAACAGAGAAAAACTAACTGCAGAAATTAATGAGTAAAACATGGAAATTCCTAAAAAGTAAAAAATGGGGTGAAAACTTGAAAGTAAGCCCGACTTTGAACTGAATCGAAGAACTCAAACTCAACCAACTCATAAACATTAGAATCAACTACACTTCAAAATTAAAAGCTTAAAGCAAATAATCACATTACATAGATCCACGCTCACATCATAAACTTCAAACTTACGGTTTAAATACACGAATATTGAAAGCTAATAAAAAATTAATATATACAAAATTAAGGCAAAGAAAACGCACCAGAGCCGCTGAAGAAGAATGGCAGTCTATCGAAGCACAACATCGCCGACGCCGACAAATATGAGCCCTTTCAGATCTGAGGAAAATTAAGAATCAAACCCGACAGCGAGATTTCTGTAAACAAACACCAAAAAGATTGAAACCGCACTATGAGCAAAACCAGCACGAATCAAATACTGAAAAAGAATCCAATGACCGAGAAGAAATTCTCCAAAAATTCATCAAATTCCAATAATTTCGATGCATATTCCTCAAACCCCCAGCTTCGATACAAGAATAAATTAAATGCTAGAGAGAGAAAGAAATATGACTCTCGGGTGGGAGATTTCGTTCACTTCACTCAGTTATCAGTACTCTCTAGCTTTTAATTATTTCTGTTTTTTATTTTTGCTCATTTTGGGGAGGAGTATGGCGTTAGGAGAATTACTTTTTACTTAAATACGGGAGTATTAATATTTGTCTAACGTGCGCCATTGACGGAATAGTGAAGTTTGACAGTTAAAAAAAAAAAGGGACGGTCGACGTCAGTCGTTCAAGTGTCTGGTAGAAGAGAGAGTGACGTGGATGATTTGATATCTGCGCCGGTCCAGAAATACTTTTCAGATACCGACGGTGAACCGTCACTCAACTTACATGTTTATTGAGAAATTTCACATAACGTCACTCAACTTACATGTTTATTTTCATAATTGTCAACTAATTTTGATGTATTTTAATTTGACTATACAAGTTATATTTTTTGTTTTAATTTCATCATTCGTTGTCTCCGTTCAAGATGGAAATTTTTGTAATTTAGGCAACATAAACTAAAATTTTATTTTTTTGCAAACTATAATTTTTTGGGTGATTAAAAATTCTGAGAGTGAGCCTTCTTAGGTATGGAAACAAATGGGACGAGTTTTCTATTTTTTTTTACTTATTTATTCAATTTAAAAAAACAATTTGAAAAGTAAAGGTAGGACATGTCGAGGTAGGCAAGGCCAAACCAGGGCATTTGCGTCTATAAATGTTCGTGACGAATGATGTGCATATATAAATATTGAATAATGTTCAATAGTGTAAATATAGTTCTGCATCTTTGAATTGAAAAATTTAAGTCATTGAACTCTTATGTCTATTTAATGATTATCAACTAGTTTTGATGTATATTAGTTTGACTGTCCAAAATAGATTTTTAATTAATTTGAACATTTTTGTCTAATGTCTATATTTGTTGCCAAAAATGAATAAGATTTGTAACCTAACCAACTGAGTTTGTACTTTAGCCTATGTTTATAAACCCCTAAATTTTATTTTTTAATGTGAAAATTACTCTTATTGTAAGAGTGAGTCTTCCTAGGTTTGGCAACAAATTAGACTTTTTTCACTTACTTATTTATTTTTATTAATCTTTTAAATGTAAATTCAACTTATAAACAAAAAAAAGTCGAGGCATGGCATAACGTGACTAAGGCATTTTGCCATTCCCAAAAACTTGTTTAGGGGTAATATGTTTGAGTCTTAGAATATGTGCAAATAAAATGTGATTAAATTGATTATAAACATTGGCCAAACATGAGTTTCGATGGAGACAAATAACGTGTGTGTGAATACTTGACTTTTTGTATTAATCAAGTCACAAATTTCACTATACCTTCTGGAATTTCGTTAATCATGTCATAAATTCACAACAAATGTACTATTTACGAACAGAAGAAATAAAAATATAATTTTTGAGATTACATTGAAATAAAAAATTAAGTTAATTAACCAAATTGAAATAAATTAAACTTAAGTAGCTAATATGAAATAATGGTATGAATAAGGGTCGCTCCAGCAAAGTCTACCGCATTTCGTGGGGTGGAGGACGAGAGGGGAAGAAATTGGGGTCAGCGGTCAAACTATTTTGAGCTCAATAATTTGATAAGTTTCAGATTTTCTCTTGATTAGTACTTGACAAAGTTTGTAAAATTTTGAACTTTAATTTGATCAATTCAACATTTATCCATCAACGATATTATTTGAAGTTTGAACTTTGATAAATCGATAGAATAACGTGTCATAAAGTATTGAATTGATCATGGATAATTTAAAATTAAATTCAAATTAAGTGCTTCACGGCTTTTAAACTTTCAAATAAGCTGTATGGATAACTACAAAATCAACTTCAATTAAAATATTTAAATATTCTCTTACTCCAAAATAAATAAATAAATAAAAATCAAGGGTAAATTATAATCAATGAAAATACTTCTTATATGGGACTCTTAACAATTTATTTATGTTGATCTTAAAAATCCGATCCAACAAGTGGCAAATAAAATTTTGACTATCTCACCTTCTATGTGGATTAGGATTGGACAAAATTCTCGAATCAAATCGACCGAACTGAACTCGAACCGAACCAATGGTTCTTCCCAAACTAAATACCTGAACAGGTACGATTTGATTCTCAGTTCTGGACCAAGAACCAAATCTTCTCAATTTTTTTATATTGAATAAATCAAATTATTTTAATTTTTTCTAAACAAAATAACTAATTAGGCGATTTATTGGTACTCCATCTCCCAAGCCCTAACCTAGTTAGCTAGACCCGACCCGACCCAACCAATTTCTAAATACAATTTTTAGGCTTAATTATCTGTTAATATTTAAAAATATTTTATCTCTATGATTTTTAATTCAAGAATATTTTTTATGTAGATTTGAAGGCTTGAAAGCTGAAGCAAATGAATTATTGATATGGATCGTCGATATTTTAGTATTAGCATCTATTTTTATTATTTGTATATGTTTGTAAATTAATCTTCTTGGACAACTTGTTATTTATATGTTTTTGAATTGGATTTCTTTAATTTATAAAAGCTATAATTGAATATGTTATTAGTTGTATTTATGTAGTGTTATTGTAAATGTTAAAAAATGAAATTATGGTACGGAACCGAATAGTATCGAATCAGATCGAACCGATTCGAATGAAATCGAACCTGAACTGTTCCATAATTATATTTAGACCTGACGGTTCCACTTACTTAATACTAGAAATTTTCGGTTCGGTTCGATTCTAAAGAGAACCAAATCGAACCGGACCATACCCAGCTCTAACGTGGACATCATGTTCCTGTTTGACAATCATACTTTTTAAACTACTTTTTTCTACATACTCATTTTTAATCATTCATTCACACAATAAAATATTTTATAAGTAAACCAATTTTTTTTTTTTACTATTTAATTATACATTCTCCAAAAAATTACTATTTTCATATATATAACGTTTGAAACAAAAATTAGAATGAGTGCTAGACATAGTGGTATTGGAGGAATTTGACTAGAGTTTATGTATGAAGAGTAAAATACATGATACAACAAGTGGGTCAAAATAGATTAGTAGATTAAACCCAAGTCTAATAAGAGGTTGATTGATCTGATTTGATTCAATCTAATTTAAGCCCGTTTGGCCCCATTTTTTCAAATTAAATTGGATGGAATAGTATTTTTTGGAGAATAAATGGTTGAAAAGAAGTAAAAGTTTTTTATTTACGTATAGAAAATTGTGTAATTGAAAATAAGAGAGAACAAAATAAAATTTAATTTAATGGAGACCAAACGAGGGCTTAAATCGCATATTTTATGAAATCTATAATTTTTAATTATACATTGCATCAATTTTATTAAAATTTATTGAAATTTTTATTTTTATCTACATCAAAGGGAGATAGAAAATCTACCGTGTAATATTTCGTGAGAGCTGACAATACAATGTAAGATATCATTCGTACAGTACCAAAATTGCCTTCCATAATAAATTCCTGAAACGTAAGTTGTCTACTCATTTTCCTAGGGTCAGACACGTGTGTTTGTGCGAATGTTCAGTAGAGTTGTGTTTGGTAGTCTCGTGAAAGTGCCTTTTTAGCAAAGTTTGTAACATCTTTGTTATCTAAATAAAAAGAGTTCGATCTAAGGTCATGTTTGATTCTTTTTTTTCTCTCTTTTCTTTTTATCAACATATTTTTTATTAAAATAATATTACACGTAAATCAAAAATAAATTTATTTTTCATTCACATATTTTTTATAAATTTATTATTCTAAAATTTATTTTCATATAAAAATGTTTGTCAAACACGCTTTAAATACCATTGCTCTTAGATTAATAAAAAAAATTCAATAAGACAATCATATACTGAAAGATGCTAGGCTGAAAGGCAAGCGCCCCTCTAATAGGGGCTGCCATGTGGCGCCCTGTCCAAAATCCCCGTTTTCGTGGTTTTTCCCATCATATACTCTCATGTGATATGACTATTCATTAAAATAATGACACGTCTCTTTTGTGTCACTTCTATTGAGACTATGTTTCCCTCTTTTCATTTTCAAACTCACCCACTTAAATGATGACACGTGTATTTTAATTTTGATCCATTCATATTTAGCCCATATTTGATCACAATTTCTTAAAATATATTTTTAATCAAACATTTTATTGAATTCGCTTTTTTTTTAATTTTATTTTTATCAAAATATACTAAAAACCTAATTATAAAACAAATCAAATAGGGGCTTAATTTTTTACCATGAACATCTAAAAAAATTTGAATATATTTCTATAGATGTAGAAATACTTTCTCCACACATATATTGCTAATTACACGTCACGTAAATAATAAAATAAGTCAGACATCATACAAAAATGACAAAAATGATTCGCATTATTGCTCATTTTACAATAACACGAAACAAATAAATTTTCAATTAGTATAGGACTTAAAGGCGCTACGGAACGAGGTGACGCAGCAGGTCACATTTCCTTTTGATGCAGTGGAAGTGTTTTTTTTTTTAATTTTATATACTTAGCCAATTCAATCATTAGTTAATTTGAACTTGTGCTAGTGTTCTTAAAGTCAAAGATGGTTGAATTTGAACGGGATTTAAAATTATTGATTATGAGCAACTTCAGCACGCCAAATATTCTTATTCTTTAGGCTATTGAGAGTCGAAGATAAAGTAGAGAGACGAAGTAATTTGTGCATTATGATTTGGTAGAATCGTCAAAATATATGATTCATGTTTTAGGTGGAAAAAATGTATCTATAATTATTTTAATGTAGTTGGAAGATTTTTGGTATTAAATTGGCCTACCAAACTGTTGGCCAAAATCAATAGTAGGTGTATTAGTATTCCAATAACCAAATGACAGTTAGGATTCAAACCCGATAGAGTTTGCCCAACAATAGTATGAACAGGATTATCGTTTAGTTTTAAAAGTCCAATTAATTTATTTAGTGTGCTATTTTTGACATTGACATGCTATCAATATTAACCTTTTTGGGTTTCGAAAGAATGTCAACTGTCGCTATTTATGATTTCACAAAAAATTTCTTCGGGAAAACGAATTCCGATCTTCGATGCAAAAGGCCATTAATAAGAAGAAGAGAAAAAGTTTGTTAAAGGAGAGTTACTCTATAAGACCAAAGAACGTAAATTACTTCTTCGGAGCACAAGGTTGTTACGACCATGTTTTCCAGTGATGATAAAGGAATATACATTATGAATTCTATGACACGTGTGAAAACAGATGAAAAGAAATCATATACACCCCCAACCAAGCCCTAACTCAAAATACGCTCCAACCCAGTAAAAAAATAAAAATAAATGTTTCATTCATCGTCACCGTAAATCACTTTGTGACTCGCGTGACTCATTTAACAGGGTTGACACCATTATAGATCTCCGATGCATGTAGGCTTGTTAACGAATTGAGTCGGCTCGCGAGCCAAAACTCGAAGCTCGAGCTCAAGTAAAATGGTTCGAGCTTTTTTGCGAGCCCGAACCTAGCTTTTGCTCAGCCAAGAAATCTAGGCTCGAGCCTTATTGAGCCAAGCCGGCTCATAATTTTTTCTTTCTTTCTTTCTTTTTTCCATGACAATTTGTCATTTTTCTTGTACAATTTTTCATGAGACAAATAAATTTTAAAAATTATGTGCGTCATAGCAGCCTGGAGTACTCGAACTATTCTTAAACTGATTAATCTCATCATTAATAAAATCCATCTATAATCTATAATTATTGTAACAAATGATACAGAGGAAAAAAAATTATCAGAGGAAAAAAAATAGAGCTTGAAGTTGAAACTAAAATACTGCAAATTAAAATTGATTGAAGAAAATTGATGTGATATTGAGAATTTTAACCCATATTTATAATAAAAAAAAAATCAAACCATTTAAATTCAAATTTGAAATTTGAATTTCAAAATTATATATCGACAAATTTCTGCCTGTTTAAACAGGCAGCTTAGCAACAGCAAATCTACTGTCGGTTAAGGCAGCTTAATCGGCAGAAAATCTGCTGCCGTTTTTAAAAACATGTTTTCTTATAACTATGGCTCGATGCCTTAAAATGAGGCTCGGCCCAAGCCTCGGCTTGGTTTTCCCAAGCCATGGGACTCTCAAGCCAATGAGCCCATTTACATCCCTAGGTGTATGGGTGAAGAAAGCGACTGCAGTGGTGCTAAATCGACCACGATGAGGAGGAAGAGTAATTCGGCTTATGGACCTACAACGAAGACGAGAAGACTTTCTTTAAGGGCTCACAAACCTAAGGTTAAGTTCTATTTCCTCGTAAATTTGTGAATGGCTTCAATTTCAATTTCAATTTGAAATGCTTCACGGTTAATTTGCTTTTTTCTTGCTTTGTTACTGCTTCCGCGTGTTATCTAAATAATATTATTTGTGTTGTTATGTGTTGCTTTCAGAAACTCAAAAGAAATCCAAATCAACACATAACTATCATATGCCACATAGCCAAATGAAGTCCAAACGATCAAGAATCGATATGGATTTTTGTCTTTCAAATGTCAAAATTGAACCGTAAATGTCAAACTCATATCCACATGAAAATGTTGCAGCTGGAATGTTTTAATGAATAATGGTAAATTTACGGGGAGCTTAGCTTTTAATTTCTTGTGCTGATATAACTTTTATGGTGATAACATAGCAGAAAAAGTATTTGAGTAGATGAAAGTCCAAACTCATTTTATGATGATAATTATAGTTGATGTTAATATTATCGATCATTTTTTTTAGTTTTTGTCTGATTCAATTTACTTATTTGCATTGCAATTTTTGATAAATTATAACTTAATTCTTATTTCAAAGTCATTGAAGGGATATGATTGGACCCAATTAAACTAAATTTCAATGATTTAATCTTGATTCGAGCAAAATAATTTATTAATCTTGTTATATTTTATTAAAAGTCTAATTAAAATTATAGAAAGTGTATAGTCAATAATATATTAATTGACTTATCGCCTTTTACGCATTACTCCATCAATCATTTCGAATATTCGAAATAAGGTTAAATTAATTAAAACGTCATTTTTCAAATGAAATGATTGTGGAACAATACCCTTTTATCTGCCTGGTGGCGTTCGGCGTTCCGACTACTCCGTCAAATGTGTGTGACCTGAAAAACGAAGGCGGGGCTCTCTCCCCGTTTTACCTCCAGCGTGAGAATTAGTTTTCAGACTTAGAGAAAATGTATTTGAAAATCAGATGGCTAAAAACGAGAATGGGAGCTCAAAAGAAAATCACCCCTTACCTATGTCTCATCCAGGGGTATTTATAGATATTAGGCACTAGGTAACCGCTGGGCGGTTGTGGTGCCACGTGTCCCACAATGGTATTCCCACTACACCCACGTTCTGAGTGATGAGTCCTTAACCTCCCGTCTGAAGATTGTACCTGTATCAGTGGCCATGTAACCTTGTTGATTCATTAAAGGTTTTATGGCTAAGTGTTTGGACAAGGGATATCATTCCCGTTGAGGATTTCGCTTAGTGGTAGAATGATTTCTTGGGATAGCGGTAGAGCGCCTTTTGGGGGTTGAGGTAGAGCGCTCCCTAGATGTAGTGGTAGAGCGCTCCCTGGGCGTAGTGAGCGCCCTATGAGGGTCGATGGCCTTGCATCGGTGTGCCGTCATCTGCCTTGCATGTCCTTGAGGGTGTCTACTTCTACCAACCTATATCAATAGCCCCTCTATCCCTTGTCGGTGTTTTCGGCAAGGGGTAGCAATTTTAGATTGGTTTGAAATTATTTTTTTTTTATTTTTTTTAAATAAAGAGAAAGGAATAGTTCGTATTAGCGAATCGAACTATATAAACACGATCGAGTGGTAATTCTACTGTACACATGGATCCTCACTAATGGCTTTAATCACATGGATCCTCACTAATGGCCTTAATATTGGAGGGAGATTGGACCCCCCAACCCCCCCCCCCCCCCCCAAAAAAATTTGAATTCTAGTGTTATAAAAGGGGGGTAATTCTCATTCTAGAAAATTACTTTCATTTTCTCTCAACCTCCTAGGCTTCCTCTCTTCTAAGGTAATTTCCTCTCCTTATTTAAATCCAAGGACTTGCTTTAAATTTCTTCTTGGTCGAATCATTTTTGTTGTCATGTATAAAACTATCCTTTCTTCTCCTTCCAATGAAAAAAGTGATGGGGGGTATAGTGATTCGACCGGACTTTCGTTGGAGGGTGCCGGAGGGGGTCCGACCGACCCACGGGGGGGTCGGTCGCCGGCCAGCGGGGTTGGTTGCTCAACCAGCCCCGCTGGTCGACCAGCTGGTCGACAGTCGACCAGCCCTATAGCTGGTCGACTTACGGCCAGCCCGAAGGCTGGCCATCTCCCGCCATCCATTGATTCTCGTGGTTTGTCCAGTCCTTCGATCCGCCCTTGTAGTGACTCTCCCCCTTCATCCGGCAAATCCCTTTATGATAGTGATAGTGAAACTCATTCAATTGACTCTCAGCCATTTGTTCCAAATCTCCTAAAGAGACACATTGGTTCTTCTAAATCTCCAGGCAAAAAATTGGAAATCGGGCGCGACCCGGCCGGTGAGGTTGTCCCCCTAGATATCCCAAAAAGTTATAGTCTCTACAATCCGCCACTTAAGTTAGAAAAATGTCTAGGAAAGTATGACCGGGTTGATGATTACGTCTATAGAGCCCCTGGTCCTAAAGAAAGGCTCCCCGGGTCCGACCCCCGTGAAATAGCCATGTACAAGGATGTTATGGACGGGGGTTTTCGGTTCCCCATTCATCCCTTTTTTGTGTCGATTTTCAACGAGTTCCACCTTACTCCTAGTCAAATTAATCCTAACGCGTGGAGAAAAGCGTTATATTTTCTGTATGTCTGTCTCAAAAAGGGAATTTCACCTTCCATGGATATTTTCAAGTGTGTCTTCGAAATGCATGAGCTAGTTCAATGTAATGCCTTTGTCTATTTTACCACTAGGGTACCTATGCAATTCCCTAAGTTTAGGAATTCGAATAGCGGATGGAAGTCCCGATTTTTCTTCGTCCGGCCTTCAAAGGGTCAGTTTTCTTTTAACATAAACTGGCGACACCCCCAAATTCGTCTCTTCAATAGCCAAGTAGAAGCTACTCCCTTTCTAGAAGCTCAAATCCAGGACTTGGTTGATGTTCCGCCCTTTGCACCTGACTTAGGGTCAGTCCTAACCATGAAGAACATGTTGAAAGTGGGGATGAGTCGTCCATTCGGTAGGTCGTTTATGTTGTTTTTCCCCTTTTTTTTTATAGCATGCACACACGTTCATTTATTATTTTTGCCTTTAGCTCGTCGAAACTAATGAGCTTGGATGTTTGTTTCAGGTATGGACTTTGATCTTGATGAGGTATTGAGGACTCTGCCAGGAGAAGATGAGGGCCTTACCCTCGTTGATGGTAAGCTTTCATATTCACCCCCACCCTCTCTTCCCCCCCCCCTCTCTTTTTTTGTACTCTACCTTGTGAGTTTAACTAATTTCAACTTACATGTGCAGGGGTCGAGCTTGATCTGGAAGGAGTCATGGACTCCATGCCTGACCAGGGGCAGGAGGGTGAGGTGGATCCTTTGCCTATCCCTTCAAAGAGAAGGAGGGGGCTGACCTTGGGAGAAAGTCTCAGACGATCAACGAGACTTCTCAGCCCTTAGATGAGCCTCGTGATGTGGTTCCAGCTCCTAGGCCGGGAGCTCCTAGTCGTGCGCGATGTGAGCGCGAGGACTCGCTTCCTAACTTTGGGTTTCCTCCCACCCGGGGCTATAATGAGATGGGGGTGCTTAAGTCGTTGGTGACCCCCGCTCGATCCAGAGCGATTGCAGGACGCAGCGCAGATGACATAGAAAGGGCTGCGGCAGTTTACCTTCAGAGGGTATGTTTCTCATTTCGAGATTTTTTTTTTTGTTGGATCTTGCCTTTTAAGTTAGACTTTAACTCGTGGTTTCCCTCTTTTTCCCCTTATACGTTTTTTTTTTTTTTTTAGGTGGTGGCCCTCTAGACCGGACTCGCTGAGTCGAATCGCCGCCTAGTCTCAGAGTTGAAAACTCTTACTGAAGAAAAGAAGAAGGAGGCTCATCACCACAAGAAGAAAATATCCTTTTTGAGGAAATCTCTGGAGATGTCGGACACTCGAGCTCGTGAGCAAGAGACGGAGATTGACAATCTACGCTCTGTTTTGGCTCGTGCTCCTGAAGAGGCGGTTGAGAGGTATAAGGCCTCAGATGAGTACGCTGGAGATCTTAAGGCGGCTGTGGATCAGTATAAGACATCGTCTGATTATGCTAAGGCTTTGAACTCATACGGGGGGAAGGCGATGTCAGCATCAATTAAGCTCTCCAAGGAGTGGATTATGGCCGAACATCCTTCTATAGACCCCTCTGGCTTGGATAGATTTCTCGCACAGCGCAAGGGGAAGGAGAGCGTAGCTCAGTCATCCAGATCACTCGGTCGTTCATCACAAGGTGGTAGTGGGGATGTCTCCCCTTCGAGCTGAAGCATTTCTTAGTTGCTGTTTTCCTTGCTAGTTTTTTCCTTTTTAGCGTTTACTTTTGCTTAGCCTTGTTATCCTCTACTTGCTCGGGATGTGGGCAAGAATTCTTCGAATGTATAAACACATCTTTCATTCGATATTATTGGCGCTGGATGCGTGGTTCCTTTAAAATGTCGTCTCTCATGTTATTTTTCTTTTCACTGCTTGATGGTGCGGGGGAGTGTTCATATATATATATATATATTTTCCAAGGCTCTCCACCTAGTCGCGTATGCTATGTCGACCGCAGGGGGTGATTTGGCGGTTAAGGGCCTTAGCCAATTTTTTGACTTTCCAGGGCTCTCCACCTAGCCGCGTATGCTATGTCGACCGCAGGGGGTGATTTGGCGGTTAAGGGCCTTAGCCAATTTTTTGACTTTCCAAAGCTCTCCACCTAACCGCGTAGGATATGTCGACCGCAGGGGGCGATTTGGTGGTTAAGGACCTTAGCCAATTTTTTGAATTTTCAAGCCTCTCCACCTAGCCGTGTAGGCTATGTCGACCGCAGGGGGCAATTTGGTGGTTAAGGGCCTTAGCCAATTTTTTGACTTTCCGAGGCTCTCCATCTAGCCGCGTAGGCTATGTCGACCGCAGGGGGCGATTTGGTGGTTAAGGGCCTTAGCCAATTTTTTGACTTTCCGAGGCTCTCCACCTAACCGCGTAGGCTATGTCGATCGCAGGGGGAGATTTGGTGGTTAAGGGCCTTAGCCAATTTTTTGACTTTCCAAGGCTCTCCACCTAGCCGCGTAGGCTATGTCGACCGCAGGGGGCGATTTGGTGGTTAAGGGCCTTAGTCAATTTTTTGACTTTCCAAGGCTCTCCACCTAGCCGCGCAGGCTATGTCGACCGCAGGAGGTGATTTGGTGGTTAAGGGCCTTAGCCAATTTTTTGACTTTCCAAGGCTCTCCACCTAACCACGTAGGCTACGTCGACCGCATGTCTTAGTGGGGTGGGCGTGGATTTCAAAGTTGCCTGTTGGCATAAAAAATTCCTGGTCTTGTGAGCTCAGTAGGCGCACCGGGACGTCCCAGCTAGGCTGGCCGTTCCGTAGCGCCCTCATCATCCGTCACCGCCAAGGTCTTTCATTGAATAAGATAAATTGTTACAACTAAGGGCGCCTTTGTAAGGCATTACATAGAGAAAATAAGCAATGCAACCTAATCTACTATATTTACAAAAGCGCAGCCGGCGCGTACATTTTGAGTTCTACTGGTAATACTTTTTGAGATGTTCTGCATTCCATGGTCTACCTAGCGGCCTTCCTTGCATATCTTTCAAGCTGTAAGCTCCCTTTCCCAGCCTGCGAATTACTTCGTACGGGCCTTCCCAGTTTGGACCAAGCTTTGGTGGGGGGTGTCCTACCGCTGCTGCATCTCTTAGAACGAGATCTCCTGACTGGAAGACCGTTGGCTTCACTCTCCGGTTGAAGTACTCAGCGGCTCTTCGTTTATAAGCCACCATTCTTATCGCCGCCTTGTCCCTTACCCCTTCGAGGAGGTCGAGTTCTCCCCTAGTTGCTGCGTCGTCGGGTTGCTTGACTTTCATCCTTCCTGTCTCGCTTAAGATCTCAACCGGAACCATGGCTTCCATCCCAAAGGCCAGTTTGAATGGCGTCTCCCCGGTCGACTCTCGGGGGGTAGTGTGATATGCCCATAGTACATTGGGCAACTCCTGAGCCCAAAGTCCTTTTTCTTTTTCTAATCTTGTCTTCAAATCCCACAGTATGGTTCGGTTGGTCACTTCTGCTTGCCCATTTGCCTGCGAGTGAGCAACTGAAGTCAGCCTGTGGTCGATGTGGTAGCTGGTGCAAAAGGCTCTAAAACTGTGATTATCGAATTGCTTTCCATTATCTGTAATGATTACCCGAGGTATACCAAACCTGCATATGATATTTTTCCAGACAAATCCCTGTATCTTTGCAGTCGTGATGGTGGCCAAAGGCTCAGCTTCCATCCACTAACAAGAACTTCCTTTGTCCTTTTGACAGGGGCAAAGGTCCCAAGATGTCCATCCCCCATTGGAAGAAGGGACACACCCCGAAAACTGCCGTCTGTTGCTCGGCCGGAATGTGGATCAGATTTCCATGGCGTTGGCATGCATCGCATTTTCTCACCAACTCTCTAGCATCTTCCTTAATTCTGGGCCAATAATATTCTTGTCGAAGCGTTTTGAACGCAAGCGTAGTCGCCCCTTGGTGGTTGCCACAAATTCCCGCATGTACTTCGACTAGCACCTCCTGTGCTTCTGTCGGTCGCAAACACTTCAAATATGGCATTGTGAAGCCTCGCTTGTAGAGTTGCCCATCGATGATGGCAAACGAGGCTGCCCGAACTTTTAGCCTTCTGGCTGTGAGAGCATCCTTCGGCAATTTATTCTTTGTGAGATACTCAAACAGCGGGTTTATCCAACTTTCCTCATTTTCTACATTCATAACATCGATTACGTGTTGGATGCTAGGTTGTCGCAGAATTTGCACGCTGGCTGTGCGAGACAGTCGTCTGGGGTTGACTAATGCGAGCTTAGCCAGCGCGTCCGCTCGCTCATTGTCCTTTCGAGGGACCTTAGTTATCTTAAACTTAGTGAACCCCTTCTGCAAGTTTTTGACCTCCATTAAATATGCAGCCATCTTTCCGTCCTTTGCTTCGAATTCCCTCGTCACTTGCCCGATTATCAACTGAGAGTCGCTGCAAACTTCCACTGAGGTTACCCCGAGTCTGGCTGCCAATCCCAAACCCGTGATTACTGCTTCGTACTCGGTCTCGTTATTTGTTGCTGGGAATTCAAAATGCAGTGAGTATTCCAACTCTTCTTCATTCGGACCTATCATTATGATCCCCGCCCCGGATCCTTCGTCATTTGAAGATCCATCGACAAAAATTTTCCAATCTGCCTGCTCCCCTGGTGGGAGCTCGGGCGGGGTGGTGAGCTCAATGATGAAGTTTGCTGAAGCCTGTGCCTTAATAGCTGTCCTTGGCCTGAATTCGATATCAAACTTGCTTAACTCGATGGCCCATTTTAACAACCTCCCAGAGGTCTCGGGCCGATATAGAATCTGCTTGATAGGTTGGTCAGTCATTACTTGCACCGTGTGAGACTGAAAGTAAGGCCTCAATTTTCTGACCGCGACAATTAATGCAAACACCAGCTGTTCAGTCAGGCTGTATCTTATTTCTGCACCCCTCAATACTTGGCTCACATAGTAGACTGGTTTCTGCGCTTTCGAGAACTCTTTCACCAGGACCGCGCTGACTGCCTTTGGTGATACTACAAAGTAGAGACACAACACGTCCCCAGGAGATGGGCTGGTCAAGACCGGGGGCTCTTGTAATGACTGCTTCAAGTTCCTAAGAGACTCTTCGCATTCCTAGGTCCACTCAAAATTGGAGGAGCCCCCTATAGCTTTGAAGAAGTGGTAGCATTTGTCTGCCGCCCGGCTCATAAAACGATTTAAGGCCGCTACCCGTCCCGTCAGCCTCTGAACCTCCTTCCTGCTGGTGGGGCTTTTCATTTCTAGGATTGCCCGAATTTTGTCCGGGTTCACTTCGATGCCCCTTTGCGTGATCATGAAACCTAGAAATTTTCCACCTGCGGTACCAAAAACACACATCTCTGGATTGAACCTTAATCTGCTTTGTCGGGCAACGTCAAACACCTTTTGCAAACAGGCCACATGGTCATTGGCTCTGGCACTCTTGACCACCATATCGTCAACATAGACTTCTACGACATCCCCGATTAGCCCACGAAAGACTTTGTTCACCATCCTCTGATACGTCGCTCCTGCGTTTTTCAAGCCAAATGGCATGGCTGTGTAACAGTACGTGCCGAAGTCCGTGATAAATGACGTCTTCTCTTGATCGGCCTCGGCCATTGAAATTTGATGATACCCCGAAAATGCATCTAGAAAGCTGAGCCTTTCATGACCCGACGTTGCGTCCACCAGTTGATCTATTCTGGGAAGTGGGTATGAGTCTTTTGGGCATACCTTGTTCAACCCAGTATAGTCTACACACATGAGCCATTTTCCATTTGACTTCTTCGCAAGTACAACATTTGCCAACCACTCAGGGTATTGCACCTCTCGGATAAAACCCGCCTGTAGCAATTTTTCCACCTCTGCTCTGGCCGCAGCCTGCCTCTCAGGGGCAAGGTTTCTCTTTTTCTGCTTCACTGGCTTAGCCCCTGGCTGGACACCGAGGCGGTGCTGCGCGACAGTTGAGCTAATCCCCGGGATATCCTTTGGGTTCCAAGTGAAGACATCCAAATTTTAGGCTAGACACTTCGCCAATTTTTCCTTCTCTTCGGATCCCAGGCCTGTTCCAACAAGAAACTCATTTCCTTTGTCAATAAAAATTTTTTCAATCATATCAAGAGGCTCGATCCGCTCCCTCGGGAGTTCTACATCCAGCATCATGACTGATGGTGGGCTTTCGGCTTGTATACTATCCACATAGCACTTTCTTGATGCATGCTGGTCTCCTCGCACACTCCCGATCCCCCTGCTGGTTGGGAACTTCATAATTTGATGGTATGTCGATAGGACCGCACCAGTTGCATTTAGCAACGGCCGACCGTAGATAGCGTTGTAAGCCATGGGGGTCTTGACAACCAAGAAATTAGTCACGATCACCACTGTCGCTGGGTATGTCCCAAGCGTGACTGAAAGCTTTACAGTCCCTTCCGGTATAATCGTTGCCCCTCCAAAGCCTTGTAGGGGGGTAGTCACCACCTTCAACCTTTCTTGAGGGATTTTTAGACCCAACAAGGCATCCCAGGTGAGGACATTCCCCGCACTCCCTCCATCGACTAATACCCTCTTCACGTCAAAATCCGCAATATCGCCTACTATTACTAAGGCGTCATCATGGGGGTGAGTTACACCAATCAAGTCCTCTTCATCGAAAGTTATACTCTGGTTGAATCTTGCTTTTTTCTGTATAGAGCAGACCCTTAATGAACGCGCATAACTCTTCCTAGCTAAATTTGAGTCGCCGCCCGACGCTACTCCTCCGATGATCATGTTTATCACTCCTGCTCTTGGTGGGGGTATGCCTTCGACCCTTTGCCTACTCTTATCATTTTTCACATACTTTGCCAATAGCCCCCGTCTCAGCAGGCTCTCAATTTCTTCCTTTAACTGTAGGCATTCTTCGGTATCATGCCCGTGATCTCTATGGAAATGGCAGTATTTACTTTGATTTCTCTTGCCCGAAGGGGTTAGCATTGGTTTGGGCCATTCGAGCTCCTTCATTTGCTGAATCTCCATCAACAACTTTGTTCGTGGAATGTTCAAAGGGGTGGGTGTCTTGACCTCCTCTCGTTTTTGCCTGACTGATCGATCTTGGACATAACCCTTGCTCGTGCGTTCACTCTTCTGCTTATTTTTATCATTGTGCTTTTGCTCGTCATATGTTTTTCGCTTATTAGCTTCCGTCTCCCTTCTATCCCTGAGATTTTTAGTTACCTTCTCCGCTTCCTCCGCATCGACATACTTGTCTCCCTTCTTTAATAGGTCATGCATCGACTCCGGGGGGTTCTTGGAGAGTGACATCTTAAAGGCCCGGTTTCGCGTTCCATTCATCAAGGCTGTAACCACTGCGGACATTTGCAGGTCTCTGATGCCAAGAGTCGCCCGGCTGAACCTGACTAAGTATTCCTGTAATGACTCGTCTTTGTCCTGTACAACCTGCATCAACCCAATGGTTGTCTTCCTCTTCCTCTTACTGCTTAGGAAATAAGCCACAAAGCTCCTGGAGAGCTCATCAAATGACTTGATGGAGTGCGGGGCCAAGGTTGCTACCCAGTCCCTAGCCTCCCTCCTGAGCGTGGGGGGAAAGGATCGGCACATCACGGCGTCCGGGACGGCATAAAGTCTCATCAGATCCACGAAGGTTCGTAGATGGTCAAGCGGGTCCGTGACTCCATCATAGGCTTCAATCATGGGCTGTTTGAAGCCTTTAGGCAAAGGGACCGCCATGATTTCTGGGGCGAACGGGTCTTCCTCCAAAACCATCTGTCTCCGCCTATCCTTCCTTTTGGACAACGCATCGTCTATCTTCTGTGACTTGATTTCTTCCATCTTTCGTTCCAAGTCTACCATGGTTTGCGGGGGCTGTTGAGCTCCGGTCATTGGGGCTCCAGCGTCTCCCGCTCCCCGCTGAGAGGTGGGTGAGACAACCGCCGGTGGCACTTGAGGCGGTTGTTGATTCGTCACTTCCGTCGGGCTTAAATGAGGGATGGTGGTTCTCTGCGACTGGTCTTGTAAAAGCACCATCATTGCTGCCAACTGGTTTTCCAAAGCGCTGAATTGACTCTGCGTCACATACTGCGGGGGCGGTGGTGGTTCATGACCCCTTGCAACTGACTCCGACTCCACCTCCGCCGTATTCCCAACCAGGCGAGTATCACTTCTTGTTCGTCTTCTTGACATGGCTTTTTAGTTCAAATGAATAGTTTCCCACAGACGGCGCCAATGAAATGATTGTGGAACAATACCCTTCTATCTGGCTGGTGGCGTTCGGCGTTCCGACTACTCCGTCAAATGTGTGTGACCTGAAAAACGAAGGCGGGGCTCTCTCTCCCGTTTTACCTCCGGCGTGAGAATTAGTTTTCAGACTTAGAGAAAATGTATTTGAAAATTAGATGGCTAAAAACGAGAATGGGAGCACAAAAGAAAATCACCCCTTACCCGTGTCTCATCCGGGGGTATTTATAGATATTAGGCACTAGGTAACCGCTGGGCGGTTGTGGTGCCACGTGTCCCACGATGGTATTCCCACTACACCCACGTTCTGAGTGATGAGTCCTTAACCTCCCGCTGGAAGATTGTACTTGTATCAGCGGCCATGTAACCTTGTTGATTCATTAAAGGTTTTATGACTAAGTGTTTGGACAAGGGATATCATTCCCGTTGAGTATTTCGCTTAGTTGTAGAATGATTTCTTGGGATAGCAGTAGAGCGCCCTTTGGGGGTTGTGGTAGAGCGCTCCCTAATATCGACATTTGGTAGTACTTTTGACAAAATATATTTTAAATTGTTGTATTTTATGTTATATATATATATAACTTAATATTTGAATGAGAAATTGAAAGAAACAAAGGAAAAAATCAAAGAAAGTGTGAAATAAAATGTATGGGGACTAACTTGCAACAATTCGATAGTTGATTCGAACCACTAAACGAAGATCAAACATGCAAAACGTTCAATTGGATGCAATTGGGAGCCAAAGGGATGTAATATAGTCGAAGTATTCTCACAAATCACATTTTAGTCAAAGAAATTATGTTTCAAATTTTTAGCCTTAACTTGAGACCCATTTTTCAAATATAAAACATTTGAATTGGAGAAATTGTACTGCTAGAATAATTGTAACTCTTTGAGTTATCATTTCAAAGCATTTGAATGACCTTAATCGAATATTGGGGAAAAAAGTTACGACCAAAATACCAAAAACTGCTCATGGACGAGTCGACGTGAATTGATGTGCGTGCGACACTCTATTTTCACCAACCCGAAAGTCATTTGGCTCAATTGAGCGTGCGCAGTATTTATGCCGGTGCACATGCAGGCTAGCCAACCAATAGCAATTTCCTTTTTCGATTCAAACTCAACATGGCAAGGATTTTTATGAGATTTTTTTACCTAAACTCGACCCGTATATATACTTGGATGACTCGTACATAAACTCTCCCCTATTGTACACCATACATACACCTCAAATACATAAATTCTTTCAACATTCATCCATCCAAACCATAAAAATCATGTGCTATTTGTTGAAGAACTGTGAAGAATTCATAGGGCATTGCAAGAATAAAATCGTGAGAAGCTTCTACTTGGATTTTTGGGCAAGAACTTGAAGACTAAATCATGATTCATGAAAAACCTCGCGAAGAAAGTCAAGAAGTTCAAGACCTATCTTCTTTTATTCAATTTTATTCATTTTCGAGTGATGTATTCTCAAAAAATGTTCATTTCTTTTAATTTTACTATGCTAGGCTAACTTTTTAGATGCTAGAACGTAGATAAACCCTTGTCCTGATGTTTGTATATTAATTAATTATTTTGACGTCCAAATTTGTTTGTTGATGGATGTTTGTTATTATTTTTAGCTACTTTTAAATTAATTAGCTACTATGATATATTGAAAATTGTCGTTAGCAAGAGAAATAATAGATTTTTAATTGAAATAATAAACATGGTAAAATGCTTTACATATTTCTATAGGCGTTCTAGAGCTTTTAATGCACTTATCATGTTTGGTTTCTTTAATGCACTTATCATGTTCGGTTTCTTCATCGAGAAATTGGAAGGGTTACAAGATGGGAAAATATTTGGTAACTATCCAGAGATTTTTTTTTAAATTTAAAATTGGAAGATTAATCAACTCTTCTTCACACATATTTGTCAAAAAAAATATTTTTTTTTGAAAATTGATTAACAAGGGGATTTGAAAGTCTTATTGTTGTTCTCACATATTTGATAAAAGCTCATTTGATTTAACCTTGGAAATAAATAGTTTAATTTTCATAGATTAGAATAAATACACAAAAACTTGTTCTCACATATTTGATAAAAACTCATTTGATTAAGGTTTTTATTAAGTTTAACTCAATTAAGCATTTTGTCCTAGTGAGTTCAGCACTTTATTCATCATTTTATTACTTGATTGCAATACCAGACACTTGCTGGATGTCAAATGGTCGCTGACCATCACACATGATCACAACATAATTTTAATTTAACATTTCATGTTGAATTATCGAGCTCATCTTTAATTGTCAATTAGAAAACCCATTAAGATCATGATCACGCCTATTAAATAGAGATGAATTCCATATTACGAATATTAATTCGTAATGCATCCACATGGTGATTAATAGATTTGCCTTACCCATTGATAGCTCAAGGAACTTCGAGTTGGTAACCGAAGTCTATTACCCACCTACGATTAAGGTTTTACGTACGACATTCAAGTAAATTTCAAGTGATCCAATCTAATACATTCAAAATGTACACTGATAATCTAATTACAAAAGTTAAAGATGAGTTTTAATAAAACTGAGATGATTGTATTAAAAAAATGATGTCTTATTAACGACCGTGGTTTATAAATTTTAGATCGAATTAAAAATCAGGTATTTCTATGCTGAAAAACTTAATCACTAAATTTATAATATCAAAATGATCGGCGGAAAGAAAAAGCTCAAATTAATATAATCGATTTAAAGAAAACAAAGTAATTATTTCAAACTTCATGAATGCAAATATTACCCGAGAACATAAAGAAGATGAAAATATTTTTAATTTTCTCATTTTATTTTATTTTGTATCAATTCATTTATGGATGGTTATATTCACGCCACATATTTTTATAAATACACCATATTTTAATTACATTAAAAGTTATTAACTTCTATTCATCCCGTCACATTTATATCCTATATTTATTTTTCATCACATTTTTAATTTAAATATTTTATTAATAAAAATATTGTCTTTAATTATGATTTTCGTCAAAAAATATTGTTATCGTACTTTAAAATGAGGGTCAAATATTTAATCGCATTTTGTGTTATTATTCTTATTTTTACTTGTTTAAAAATACATTGGACAAATGAGTATTTTTACCATATTTTAAAAATTTGGAGATAAACCATAAATAGTAACAATTTATGTTAATTTGAGAGTAATAATGCGATCAAAAAAAGTTTTGAGATATAATTTATATAGTCTAATTATTAAAAATTGTGCTATAGATATATTTTGGCTTCATTTATTTATGTGTACCGCTATTGACATCAACATTTTTTATATATATCGACTTTTAAACATATAATTATATTATTAAAAATATAATCATATTATACTTTTTATCTTATACAAATTTACCTAAATAGACATAAATAAAAATATATAGTTCTAACTTCGTCCATTAATATTTATTTTCATAAAGTCTTTTAAACCTTTATATATTCTTTTAGAGTTTAAGTTTAACTAAAATTCTAATAGTAATAAATTACCATCTTCATCTAAAATCATAAAACCCTAAAAATAGAATATCGTCTTCAATGAAAATTTTAAAAAAATTAAAATAAATCAACACATTATTAGAGTTATAATTCTTTCATGATATGAAAAATGAAATATTATTTTGAATGCTTTTTGAAGTATTGGTTCGATAGATGAAACTATACGAGACATTTTAAAATAAGTTTCAATACCTATCAAAATATTTTTATGTTACAAACGAAAACGAACTTAAAATTATCAATTATAACACAAACAACCAAACTTATTAGCTTATAAGCAAATAGTAATAACAATAATAATAACATCTTCATCTACAACATAAAACCCTAATAAAAAAATATCTTCTTCAGCAGAAAAAATCAACACAATATTAGAGTAATAATTCTTTCATGACATGAAAAATGAAATATTAATTTTTACGCTTTTTTTAAGTTTGGTTTGATAGATGAAAATATACGAGAAATTTCAAAATAAGTTTCAATACCTGTCCAAATATTCTTATATTACAAAAAGAAACAAATTTAAAATTATCGGCCGAAGCACAAACAATCAAAATTACGAGCTTATAAACAAAAGAAAAAAAAATACCATCTTCATCTAAAATTATAAACCTTAATCATAAAATATAATCTTCAACGGAAATTTAAAATAAAAAATAACACATTATTAGAGTTATAATTCTTTCGTGATATGAAAAATGGAATATTTTTTTTTAAGTATTGATTTGATAGATGATAATATACGAGAAATTTAAAAACAAGTTTCAATTCCAGTTCAAAAATTCTTATTACAAAAAAAAAACAAATTTAAAATTATCAATCGAAACACAAACACCCCCCCCCCCCCCCCCCCCTCCCAAATTATTATAATAATAACATCTTCATCTAAAATCATAAAACCCTAATCATAAAATACCCTCTTCAATATAAAAAAAATCAACGTGATATTAGAGTCATAATTCTTTCATGAAATGAAAAATGAAATATTACTTTTTTCATTTTTTAAATATTGGTTTGACAGATGAAAGTAAACTAGAAATTTCAAAATAAGTTTCAATATCTATCCAAATATTCTTACCTTACAAACGAAAACAAACTTGAAATTATCGACCGAAACACAAACAACCAAAATTAGTAGCTTATAAAAAAAAAATATATATCATCGTCATCTAAAATCATAAAATATCATCTTTAACGAAAATTTAAAATAAAAAAAAATCAACTCATTATTAGAGTTATAAATATTTCATAATATGAAAAATGGAATATTATTTTTTAAATATTTGTTTGATAGATAAAAATATACGAGAAATTTCAAAATAGAGTTTCTATATCTGTCCAAAAATTCTTTCATTACAAAAAAAAAAAAAAAAAAAAAACTTAAATTTATCAACAGAAATACAAACAATCAAAATTATGAGCTTATAAACTAAAAAAGAAAAAATAAAAATTGATTAACATATGATTTGAGGAGGAATTTTTTTGGTTGCTCGAGCAGTACACTTTTAATAGAATCCTATAAATTCAAGAAAATAGATTTGCTAACATTTATAACTAAATATTAAAGTATCGACACGATAATATAGAAAATGAAAAGTAAGAACCAGATTAAATATTGATAGTGAGTGGATGAATATAGTGATTTTAAAATTTTAAAATTTTTAAAATTGTATTAGGAATGTATTTATAATGGGATGAATATATAAAATTTGTATGAATTTATAATTTTTAAATGAATGAATTTATTAAGGACAATATTTGAATTTGACATGGATGAAAATAGTAAAAATTGTGGACATAAATAACAGCACCCTTTTATTTATTTTCTGTTAAAATTGCTTACATGTTTTTTAGTTTGCCCTTACAAGTTACAACAGTGACCCAAATCACTTGTGATGCCGCCTCAACACAAAACGGAAATGGCATGTTTGGATTATCACCTGTATTAGAATATAATTGGCAACCTTTTAAAAGATTATAAGTTGGTTAAATATAGTTTTATTCACATATTCTATAAAATTTACTATTGTTATTTACATATTGTATAGAAGGTAAATATTTTCGCGCTACAATTTTATTAACTATATCACATTTTAATTACATTGCATATCCCTAAATCTTTCTTATTTTTACACTTATCTTCTCAACCTATTTTTTTTTAAATTCTTTTTTATAATCAATCTTCTATTAATTTTCATATATTGTCTAAAGAGATAATTTTCGTCCAAAATGTTTGTTATAAGGGCTAAAAAGACATATTTCTCTCACGTATTTTCAAATAATCGAAATAAAAAACTAATACAAAAATTAAATAAAATATTTGTCCATCTTTTCAATATACGTTATTAAAATATTTAGATGAAAATCGTGATTAAAAACAATTTTTTTTAATTAATTGAAGGTTAAGAATGACAATCCGACGAAAAAACAATTGAGAACATGATAAAAGTAAAATTAACCAAATATTGAACACATTTCTCGTAAATGGAATGTGATGCAGTTATAAAAAATCGTATTGTGAATATAATTACCTTTGTCTAACTTACATTTTAGGGAATAATACATAATTCCTACACAAGATAATTACATTTCAAAACTAACAAACTCGTCAAATTATTTCAAAATTCAGGTGTTAATTTCAATTAATTATATATAAATAATTGGAATTAATTATCCCACCCAATTAGTAGCATCTTCCACCTACCCCAACAAACTAATAATATCACACCCCACCTGTAAAAAATTTTCAAAAATTGAAAATTAACGTCAACTCTTCAATCGTTAGCAACAATATATATTAGAATTCAACAATCGGATTTAGGATTCACTTAATAAATTAAGATTTTGAAGGAAAATCATTAATGGGTTAGAAAAAAAGATGATTGTTTCAAATAAGACAAGAAAATCACTTGTTTGGAATGATCTAAAAAATAAGGAAAATAACAATTTCTTATTTTTTTAACCACATATTTCACATCAATACACTATTAAAAAAAAAAAAAACAGTTTTCTCTAAAATGGGGCTCAAACAAAGGGCTAACTATGACCAAATTTATATTTAATGTGATCGCCTGATATCAAGTCTGTATTATTTGTGACTGTATGTAATTAAATAACTAAACTAGTGTTATCTGTTACTAATTGTGATCAAGTTCGTCTTTGTTGTTGTTACCAGACTAATCTCAACTATGACGGTTTGTGACGAAATCACAACTGATTACGATTAACATAGAATTGGACACAACTGATCACAATTAACACAAACTTGATTATAGAGGATCACCACAAATAAATTTATATACACCGGAGACCAACACTACAATAGATATAGTCACAACTGGTCACAACGAACACATATTTAGTCACAAATGGTCACAATTAATACATACTTGGTCGCAAACCGATCAACACAATTAAATCTGCACGGTGTGTATCAGCACAACAACCCATCACCACCGCATCCCGGAATAACAAGCCAATGATAGATTGAACAACGAACTCCCACCACCACCTCCTCCAATGTACCACCATCGCCACTACCTACAAGCATCACCACCATCGCCACTACCTACAAGCATCACCACCATCACCACATGCACCACAATGGACCACCACCCACTCTAATAATCACCAAGAAAATCATCCTTTCATTATTAAAGAATAATTATAGAGAGAGAATATACAATACTAGTTGGACATAAAATCATCCTTTCACAATTTTTATTCACTTTGTACTACTCAGAAGGTAGATCAGACCTCCCAAACCACATAGCGTTAACACCACCTGCTCCGCCGCACTGCCACCACCACCTACATTAACAACACCACACACAGTTGAACCACCCAAATCGCACAATGCCACCACAACCTAACATCATGCTTGATAATGTTATTCCATGGAGATAAACGCCTTGAGTAGGCAAGTTGGCCGGTGGGAGGTCGATATGATGGTGGGGCCTTCTGGTTGGGGCGGCAAATAGAGTTTTCATCTAAGCCCCCATTTGACCCTCATTAAATTAAATTACATTGTATTTTATTTTATTCTTTCTTATTTTCAACTGCACAATCTTTCATAAAATAACATTGCACGTAAGAAGATTTTTTTTAGAGAAAGAAGTGAGGAATCTTTTTTCGACTCTAGCTCTCCCACTCTAGTCGTTGCTTTTTTCTTTTTCAACTACTCATTTTTTAAAAAAAAACTAATTCACCCATTTTCATTTCCAAAAGATGAGGGCCAAACGGAGGCTAAGTGACTACCAATTTGACCATTTTTGGGTAGGAAGATGTGGTGGCGTGAAGTCGGTAGGATAATGGGCCAATTGGGGAGCAAGTTCACCATCGATTAAGGCCGTGGGTGGTGGTTGGGATATGTGATCAGTAGTTCTTCCATGACTCACTTTTCTCTCACAGTAGCAGTTGCAATTCATTTGCTTGCAATTACAAAGAGAAAAAGCCTGTATAATGGAAATTATTTACGATGGCATGGTGGAGTAACCCATTTGCAAATGTTTAAATGAGAGGGTGGGTAGTTGCATAATTTGATTTTAAATTAAAAAATAATTATAACATGATTCCTGAAAGAAAACGATTTGTACTTGAATTTTGAAATTGAAAATTAGAAGGTAGGGGTTAAGGTAATTTGGAGGACTGACAGCCCCCTTCCATGGGACTCCCGCCCTACGGGTGGAGTTCGGTCGGGGGCGGCTGTAGCATTTTCCAGGTAATTTCCCTGCATCATATTTGTTTGGACGAAATTGCCCTGCTACTTTGGTAGGAGACTTGCCACGGTTAGGGCACTGAAAAATGAAATTCCCAAAAAAATCGGCCCATTAAATTTGTTCATGGCCATAAGCCCTAAGTACTGCACCTTGGAAGATATACCACCAAATTATTTGTAAGGTTTATGAAGATGCCATTTTGAATCCCCAATTCTTAGATTTTCAATTCAATACAACCAAAGGAAATGTCGAAACGAAAATTCGGTTTCGAAGGGTTCGGCATGAATCGCCAAGCTTCGTACAACTTCGAGCGATCCTCAGCTCCTCAACGGCTTTACGTTCCTCCGTCGTCTCGCTCCTCTGGTGGCAGCTACGACAATTACGAAGATACTGACCTTGACAACATTGAGTACGCCGACGACCGTGAAAACGACTCCATTAATGGTGCCGGTGGTGGTGATGAGATTGATCCTCTGGATGCGTTTATGGAGGGTATACACGAGGAGATGAACGCGGCGCCGCTACCGAAGGCAAAGGAGAAGTTGGATAAGTATAAAGACGACGAAGATGAGGAGGATCCGATGGAGAGTTTTTTGAGAGCTAAGAAGGATGTAGGTTTACAATTGGCTGCTGAGGTTCTTCACGCGGGGTATAATTCTGATGAGGAGGTGTACGCCGCAGCTAAGGCGGTGGATGCTGGAATGCTCGAGTACGATTCTGATGATAATCCGATTGTTTTGGATAAGAAGAAGATTGAGCCTATCCTGGCTCTCGATCACAGCTTGATTGATTACGAGCCCTTTAACAAGGACTTCTACGAGGAAAAGCCTTCCATTTCTGGTGACTAAACTGTGACCTAGTATTTTTTTCCTGCATTTCTTCTAGTTGGTGTTTTTTGCTGTACTTGCGTACTCATAGAGTTAACACCCATTTGGCGAACAAGGGCCAGGAGATTACAGGATAATACAGTAAAGAATATGTTTCACCTACCTGCAGTTGCTGTTCTGTAACCTGTTTCTTATATAACAAAGATGGCGTTGAACTGTTGATGATATGAGGTTATAAATACAAGCAAACACAACAATAAGCTCACTCATAGAATCAACATAATGGGTTAAGATTAGTGATTTCCCTTAGAGACTTTAACGTGGGGAAACTGTGTGATTAGTTCTCTGGTATATCTATGATGTTCCATCTAAATCTGCTTTAAAATCTTTAAGAATTATACCATTTTTAACAGGGCATGTGCAGCATTTTCTAGTTGAAGGGAAAAAAAATTCCTGTAGCAAATTCTAGTAGAAGGAAAGAAAATGTTCGGCTAAATATTCAATGGATCTTGCTGGTGTCAATAGAAAATAAAAAATAAAAAAAAGCCTTTTTTTTTTTTAAGGGGGGATCCAAGCTAATTAAATCAGTGCCCATTGAACTTTACTCTTAAGTTACTACTTGCTCACCGACTCATTTATTTAAATGTTTACGCATTCATCACTCCTTTCAAATTCGTTATCTACAATTGATGGAAAACTCCACGTGTACAAACGGAAAACTGATGTGGCACATACATTGTTAATTTGTCCACATGGATTAAAAATAAAATAACCCCCCGCCCACCAATTTAATAACAAAAAATTGCCCAAATCGAAACTCCCAATTGTGTGAAGATAAACCCTATGCCATACCCAAATCATTCACAAGAAGCTTCAAAATCGATATCTCCAGAACATTAGATCCATAGGTACAGTGCCTCACTCTCTTCCTTTCTTAATATTCTTTAATAGTGCAATCTCCAGTAAGAAACAAAGAGTAGATTCAAAGACCCCACCTAAATCTTTCCTTGCTTGTTCCAGCTTCCCTTGTTCCTGCAGTCTCATGCACCTCTCATGAGCTCTCTAGTTTTCAATCTTCTATCTGTTAACAATAAGAGAACAAGAACAATATGTAGCAAAGCCTCATTAAAGAAAATGAGAGGATGATTTCAGTACGGGTTAGGGTTTATCTTTCACACAATTGGGGTTTTTGACTTGGGGCGATTTTTTGTTTTTAATTTGGGAGGTTTTTGGTTTTATTTTTAATCCAAGTGGACAAATTAACGGTGTAAATGTGCCACATCAGCTTCTAGTCTTTACACATGGAGTTTTCCATCAATCGTGGATATGGATTTGAAAGGAGTGATGGATAGGTAAACATTTGAATAAATGAATGAGCAGTTGGTAATCTTTTTTCGTTTAATGAGTAAGTAGTAATCTAGGGTAAAGTTCAGTGTGCATTAATTTAATTAACTCAGAGGAATCCTTTAGTTTTAGTATTGATTGATTTCTTCCTGCGGAATTATTAAAGTAAAGATAAGTAAATATATTCTAGCTCTCTCTCTCTCTCTCTTTCTCTCTGAACAAATAACCATTCAGAGTTCCTAAAGCTCCTTGTAAGGCTTGTTGGAAAACATGTTGTCGGACTTGATTAATCGCCCTTTGCTATTCAAACTGAATTGTTTCAGTTTTATAATTTTTTAATTGTTCCAAAACAATCAAATTGTAGTTGGGGCGAATGAAAATGTAGCATGCCTGGTTGTAGTGTCTTGATTTAATGTCTCACACGCTGATTCCCTCTATAGTGCAGTCAAACAAGAGTTCTGGTCCTTTTTTGTAGTGGCCTGTCCATTTTTGTCATCTTTTTGGGACTTCTCCTCGCTTCTATTTGCATTGGCTTGCTGCTAACTGATTCCCTTTCATTATCTAGGTATGAGTGAGCCGGATGTTACTGAGTACAAGAAGAGCTTGGCCATTCATGTGTCGGGTTTTGATTTTCCAAGACCTGTTAAGACTTTTGAAGACTGTGGTTTCTCTGTGGAGCTAATGAAAGCCATAGCTAAACAAGCATATGAAAGGCCCACGCCAATACAGTGCCAAGCTCTGCCCATTGTGCTTTCAGGAAGAGATGTCATTGGAATAGCCAAAACTGGTTCAGGAAAGACTGCGTCCTTCGTGCTTCCTATGATTGTCCATATTATGGATCAACCTGAGCTTGGGAAAGAAGAAGGCCCAATTGGAGTAATATGTGCACCTACTAGGGAACTAGCTCATCAGATATATTTAGAAGCTAAGAAATTTGCAAAGGCAAGTGGGATTCGTGTCTCTGCAGTTTATGGTGGAATGTCTAAACTTGATCAGTTCAAGGAGCTGAAGGCAGGATGTGAGATAGTTGTCGCTACCCCAGGGAGGTTGATAGACATGATAAAAATGAAGGCATTGACGATGTTGAGAGCTACGTACTTAGTACTTGATGAGGCTGATCGAATGTTTGATCTTGGTTTTGAGCCTCAAGTTAGGTCTGTTGTTGGTCAAATAAGGCCAGATCGACAAACCTTACTCTTCTCAGCTACTATGCCGCGCAAAGTTGAAAAACTTGCAAGGGAGATACTGACTGATCCTGTAAGGATTACCGTGGGAGAAGTTGGTATGGCCAATGAGGATATAACACAAGTTGTTCAAGTAATTCCATCAGATGCTGAAAAATTGCCATGGCTCCTTGAAAAGCTTCCTGTGTTGATAGATGAAGGTGATGTTCTGGTTTTTGCTTCAAAAAAGAACACAGTGGACGAAGTAGAATCACAGCTTTCACAGAGGGGTTTAAGAGTTGCTGCTCTGCATGGTGACAAAGATCAGGCTTCTCGAATGGAGATATTGCAAAAATTTAAATCTGGAACATACCATGTTCTCATTGCAACTGATGTTGCTGCTCGTGGTCTTGACATCAAGTCAATTAAATCTGTGGTCAATTTTGATATAGCAAAAGATATGGACATGCATGTCCATCGAATTGGAAGGACAGGTCGTGCTGGTGACAAAGACGGAACTGCATACACTCTCATAACAGAGAAGGAGGCACGGTTTGCAGGTGAATTAGTCAACAGTTTGATTGCTGCTGGTCAAAACGCAACTATGGAGCTGATGGATCTTGCCATGAAGGTATTTTCAAGTTTTTGTAAAGCATACACGGGCATGCTATGTATTTCAATTTTTCTGCTGTTTTGAAATTGGATAGAATGCATTGCACCTCCAGAAATCCTCTCATATACTTTTAAATCTTTGGATGACTTGGGTTGACTAAAATCTGGAGCTAAAGGGAGACATATTGATGTTGTTTGACTGAAGAAGTAAAAAAATTTGGATGTAATAATTGCTTTTGGCTTTCTTCATTTGGCAGCCATGCATCCGAGTCTACCAAGTGGTCGTCTATTAGAACTAACAATTATTCATCCGAGTCTACCAAGTGGTCATCTATTAGAATTAACAATTATTCGTCCAAGTCTACCAAATGGTCATCTATTAGAATTAACAATTATTCTAACTCTCAAGTCATCAGGGAAATGATGTAACTACGAATACTCGCATATATATCTTTTACCCAGTCCGTTGTCATTCAACCATAGCAGGATGAATTATTAATTAGCTGTATGCCAAAGTTGTCCAAGATGATTCTCCAGATAATACTTTCTGATGAGGACATCTACTTTTTATTTATTTTTAGTTGGACTTTATTTATGTTTTAGATTTTATTTATATAATTGGGCTTGTGTTGGCTCAAGCCCATTCTACTTAGGGTTTCAATCTTTATTATTTAAACCTAATTGCGATATAATTTCATTAGTTTTGATGAATTGAAGAATATTTTGGTGGTTTGTTGTCTATGGCTTCTCCTTCCTCTCCCTCCTCCTCTTATCCATGAATTTCTACTTCTTCTCCGGTTTCTCCTCCATTCTCTCCGGTTCTCCCCTCTTTCTTGCTTCTTCTTTCTATTTTTTAATTCGTCCTGCATCAAATTTGGTATCAGAAACTAAACTAGGGTAATCTCTCATCTCCAATCCAAAAATCTCTTTCTATTTCTTTCCCAAGAACTAGTGGAACAGCACAAACAAATAAACTTTTAGCATGAGCAGTCAAGTTATTATTTTTTCAGATTCTTTATAGTTGTTCTAAAAAAAAAAAAAATAATAATAAATAAATAAATTACTGTTCATCGCGGGTACTGTTCACCTAGAATTTCAGTTTAGTATTTTGGTCAGTTTCTAAAAAAAAAAAAAATGTTCATGGGTACTGTTCACGTCCAAAAATAAAAAAAAAAAAAAATGTTCATGGGTACTGTTCACGTCCAAAAATAAAAAATAAAAAAAATCTCGTCTTTTCTTTTCCCTGTTGCTGCTGCTCATAGATAAAAAAAAAATTGTAGTGTTGTTCCACAAATCCCAAACCCTAGCATTCAAGCCCATTTAGCCCAACTAACCTAGCTTACTCTCTACGACCTAGGTCCACTCCCCTGCATCGGTGGATGAAGAATCGGGAACATAATAATTTCTGGTTGACATGTTCCCAGAAAAAAAGATACTTTCGAGAAAGGACGAGCACGACTGAAGTGGCTATACATACAAATCTATTTACGGATCTATATGCTTTGAGCTGATAGCTGATGGCTGTTGGTCACGACTACTACCAAAAAGCTCCAATGAAGATGAATATTTCACATGGAGGAGTGTGCATCTTTATGTTGGGTGTTCTTCTGTCGTGCGACCTGGGGGCTAACCCCAACTGGCCCATCTCTATAACAGAATCCAAATCCCTTCCCATTTTGCCCAGTCCCAAATATCCAACCAAGCCCGATTATAACCAATCCATTAACATCAATTACCCCATAGTTTCACCCGATTCCTCTCTCACAGGTACTCTCTTGTCGCTGCTGCCTCTAATCACCATCACGCCACCACTTCATTATCTATTGTACCCAGGCATCCAGAGTACTACCGCTTCATCGCCATAGGCCACCACCACCAACCTAAGAACATACACTTCCACCACAATTACAACACTCATATATTTCCTCATTCATCTCAACAATCTAAAAGCCACAGTTACCACACACAATTTTACGTCTACACCAGAACCAGCACAAGTTACAGTCAACGGGGGCTAAAACCATTGGACACGAAGGGAAGAACAGAAACATAGTTGGGGCTCATAAGTCGGCAATTCAGATCAATCGGCATACAAATAATCAAAACTAAATAACAGGGAGTCCTTGATCTCTATTTAGTATTGGTTTATACTACTGCTTCATTTTTAAAATTGCATCAATTAAAATCTTGTGCTACTGTTATCGTGATAATTTTAGCCTTAAACCCCACTTGATCGAAACCATTAATCGAATTGACACCAGTGACCGAATTGACTTCCATTGTTCCCCACTTAAATTGATTGGAGAATTTGATAGTGTGTTGACCCTTGCTTTGCCATTTTACATGTACCAGCAGTATTAACTTGTTTTGGATTTAATTAATCCTAATATTTAAAATTAAATTAAAAAAATAAATTGGTACAAGTTATTTTTCATTGCTTGCACGTATTGTTCACTGATCTCATCATAGCACATCATTTAGCTGGTATTACATTGCATGTAGTTGCGTAGTGGTCGTTTTGTCGCCTCTATTTCCAATACATTGACCATGGCATGAATCCATCCCAATTTGATGCACTCACTAGACAATTAGCGCAACTTGCCACTAGCCTATCGACTGTCCAATCAGATATAACTGCTACTCATTAGGAGAGAAAGACCCTAGCTGCTAAGTTGAGCAATTTTAAGCGAACCCTTCGTTTAATTGACACTAATTCTGAAGCGTCTCATAATAGACAATATTATCGTGGACAAAGTGATCAAGAATATTTTCGACGCGATCGTAGGAATAGGGATCATGTTTGTGAGCGAGAACAAGGCCATAGTCATCATGGTACTCATTCTCTTTTTCGTCGTAAGGAGCGTTTCTTTAGAGACATTGATTTAGATATTCCTACTTTCGATGGTTGCTTAGATCATGAAATTTTTACCCAATGGAACACCCTTACACAAGAGAATCGGCTAGTAACTGAGTACATTGCTCAATTTGAAAAATTTCGAGTGAAATGTCATGTCGTTGAGGATGAGACCCTGACTTTAAGTAGGTTTATACAAGGTCTACGAGATGAACTTAGGTGTGAGCTTTTCTTTCGAAGCATTACTACTCTTGATCAAGCTTATTTTTCAGCTCGGGACTACGAGTTACTTATTAGTACTACGTATGAAAAGCGTGATCTCCATCGTTCACCCATCTCATAAGCGTCATCTCATCATAAGTCTATCATAGAGCCTTCCCAGTCTAGCGTTCCTTCCCTTTGGAAAAACAAGTGTAAAGGTCGTGATAACCCAAGGTCGTCTTCTTCATGTAGAAAGCGTAATGACAATCATCTTTCGGTTTCATTGGCTCCATTTTCTCTTGTTAAGTCCCTTCTAGGACCTCAACGTCTAGTGTTCCTCCTATTTGAAAAAATAAGTGTAAAGGTTGTGATAGTCGAAGGACCCATTCTCCTTATAGAAGGCGTATTGACAACCATTCGTTTGTTTCATTGGCTCCACTTCCTCTCGTTAAGTCTCTTCTAGGACCTCCCCCATCTAATGTTTCTCAAATCTTGGAAAATAGGGGTAAAATTTTTGAAATTCCAATGACTTCTTCTCACCTGCTATGCATTAGCTGTAAGGACTTTGGCCACATCTCTTCCAAATGTCCTAACCGAGCCTTAGTTATAGAAAAACGAAAGGATGTAATAGAAGAGTCGTTAAAAGATCAAATTTATGAACCTAAATTTGAAGAATGTGATGACTTGAATGATATTGAGGACACTTCCTTATGTAGTATCAGAATTTTTCCTATGAATCTAGGGGTTGTACCCTTTGTTCCCGATACCCCTCAGTTAAATGTTGTGTGTTATACTCTTTGCCAACCCAAAGGTATGGATGATTTGTGTAATCATGTCATTTTCAAGGAAAATCTTGAGAATTGGGATTTGATCCTCCCAACAATTCAAATTGCATATAATAATTTTGTGCATCGGTTTGTAGGTACGAGTTCCATCGAAGTTATTCATGGTTATAAGTCCAGGAAACCTTTAGACCTTATTCCAATGTCTCCACATACTAGTATGTCTATGTCAATTGAGGCATTTGTACGTCATCTTCATGACTTGCATATTAAGATCAATAAACAACATGACGCAAGTAATGCATTAAATAAACTTCAAGTTGATTTGCATAAACGATATTTTGAATTTAATATTGGGGATTATGTTATATTGCAAGCTTGTAGTGTTGATCCTTTTAAAATTTTAAAGCATGTTGGTTCAAATGCACATGTCATTGCCCTTTCATCACATTTTGGCTACCACTCTACTTTAAATATTGAGGACTTCATTACTTACAAATATCATGTTACTTCCTTTGATGATCTATTTCTATTTAACTTTATGGACCCCCAACTTGACTATGTTGATATTTCTACTTCAATACCATCTATCGTAGTATACAAAGATAAAATTGATGTTATTTTAGATGAATGTATTTTATTGACCAATGATGGCAAGATTCGGTACTTTCTTGTTTGTTGGGTAGATCGACGTGCTTCTTATTCTTATGCTCATTATATACAATCATGTGAAAATCTTGAAGATGAGGTGCATGAGTATTGGTTATTTGGAGTCCAGTATCAGTACTTAGTTAGAAGGAAAGATCGCCCTCCATTGGTCAGATCATATTCTTGGGAATAAGCTACAGTTTCGAGTACTATCAATCATGGAATTTCGTTACTTGGTTCGTCAGAAAGATCGTCCCCGTGACTTGACTTGATGCATTTAGAGTATCAGATTGATTGCAGTCTATACTATCTATCAACTCGACAGAGACGAGTTTTTCTCCCACCCCGAGAGAGTTGATGAGGACATCTACTTTTTATTTATTTTTAGTTGGACTTTATTTATATTTTAGATTTTATTTATGTAATTGGGCTTGTGTTGGCCCAAGCTCATTCTACTTAGGGTTTCAGTCTTTACTATTTAAACCTAATTGCGATGTAATTTCATTAGTTTTGATGAATTGAAGAATATTTTGGTGGTTTGTTGTCTATGGCTTCTCCTTCCTCTCCCTCCTTCTCTTACCCATGAATTTCTACTTCTTCTCCGGTTTCTCCCCATTCTCTCCGGTTCTCCCCTCTTTCTTGCTTCTTCTTTCTATTTTTTAATTCGTCCTGCATCACTTCCTATGTAAATGGAAAACAATAGATTATCAAGGTGGTGACAGTCTCATAGTGGAACTCTAATCTTGGAAGGGCCTTTTGGCCTGATATTTAATATTGTGTTGATCGACGATTTGAAGCAGATACAATTGCACACATAAACATTCTCTATGACAATTTATATTTCTGCAGCATTTTTGCTTTTGTTTTTTTATGTTTCATGATCGAATGATTTTTACCCTGTAAATCATTAGGATGGGAGGTTCAGATCCAAACGTGATGCACGGAAAGGAGGTAAGGATCTTAGTTTTGCAAGTGACATGCTCATAATGTTCCTGATAATTGAAATAATTGAGAATGCCTCTGAATGATCTGGATCAACATTCTCCTCTATAATAGTTTTTTAGGAGGTTCTTCCATTACGCTGAGGAGTCACCTAAAAAGGAAATAAACTTGCATTAATGATTAATCTTATTTTCTTTCTATTGGAGTGTTTTGAAAACATATGTTGCTCATTGGATGTTAATATTATTTGCAGGTGGGAAAAGAGCTAAAGGGAGGGGCGGAGGTGGTAACCGAGGTGTGCGAGGCGTGGATTTTGGATTGGGTATTGGGTATAGTCCAGAATCCAATGCAGCATCAAATACCGTTCCAAGTCGTTCGGCCACCGCAGTTAATTCACTGAGGACAGGGATGATGGCAAAATTTAAAAGCAATTTTGTTGCTGCATCATCAAATTCCCAAAATCAGGTTGTGAACCATAATCCAGGCATGCTTGCCAATAAAAGAATGGCTTTGCCGGGCTTTGTATCTGGAGGCACTATAGGTGGAGATGTTCATACTACCGATAAAACCAGTTCAACTGGTACTGCTTCTGTGTCAATCATTGCCACTCAGAATTCCAGAGATAACGCGAACCAAAAACACTCAGAAAGGTGACTTTACTGAACTCAAAGTTCTCATTTTTGAGGATTTTGACTTGAGTGGAATATTTAAAACATGTATCAAGTAAAAACAGATTAAGAGTTTCGTGTGATTCCAATCTTTAATTTTGGTGTTAAAACTTGTATTTTTTCCATTCTTGTTTTGTTTGCAGCTCCAGAGAAAGGCCTAGAGAAAGGCGGAGGCCCTCTGGTTGGGATCAGTAATCTGTACAGGAAAAGATTTGCTCGTTCATGGATGGTAGCTTATACCTTTTAGGGCCTGTTTGTGCCTCTTTAATTTGAAAAATTGTATTATGGAATATTGATTAATGTTGAAATATGTGGTTAAAAAAAAAAAAAGAAGGAAATTTTTTTGATTTATGTGTAATATTATTTTAATGAAGAATGTGTAGTGGAAAATGAGTACTGTAGAAAAAATAACATAGTAAATTGGTTGACGAACAAAGGCTTAATGTTGAATTGCTATTGTATCGTGTCTCTGTACTCTTTAATCTAACAGTGTATTTATCACAATTTTGTGACAAATGCATCGATGTTCAAAGTATGTTAATTTGTCATTTTACCTAGTTCTTTGTCTACTGTTAAGAGGACGGGATTCACAGAGACTGGGATAATTAAATTAAATTAAATTCACTCCATTTCATGGGAATGCATGAACCGCATTAATACTTTTTTCTTCATTAAATTTTAGTATTATTAGACTTCAAAATCCCGACTCGGTAATGAATATTCATAAATGACGGATGGGTGGGAGGATGGCATTTAGTTAGGCATGCGATCCTATATTTAATTATAAAACAAAGGATTTACTGATTGTATGGTCACTGGTCGTGTCCGTGCACTTGAGAATTTTCAGGTTATCCTGTTTTTGTCCCTGTACACTAAAATTGCAGTCCAAATCAAATAGTCCAAAGAGTGAAGTCCAATTGGGGAGTCCAGGATAAAGGTCCAAACATGATTATTGATAAATGCAGTGGAAGCCCACGAACACAGTAACATCATCGTCCAAACTTGCAAGACGCCCAGAATCCGAGCGAATGGAGTGCCTTATGGTCGTTCAGAGTGATGACCCCGTTATCGCCCAAACTTTCGAATCGTCCAAGATCTTGGCAAATATAAAATATTATGGTTGTCCAGAATAGCAGTTATTGAGTAATCTTATCATATTCTACGATTCAAGGAGCCCAGCTGAAGGCGGTTGAACGACAAAGAGTAATGGCAGCAGTTAGAGACGATAGTTTCACGTTAGCCACCATAAAGAAAGTGGGTAGTTATAAAACAATCAAGCAATTTCCAAGCGATTTGTCACGGGGAAGTTATTAAGGGAATATAAAAAGGAAGAGAAGACATAGAATAAAGGATCGGAATCAAACACTCTCAAATAGAGAACATGTAATTTTTAATTTCTTAATTTAAATTTAAACACTTCTTTTAGTACTCGTGTGCTTGCGTCCCTTGGAGGCATTCTGTTTATTTCCAATTGTAAATCATCGCCAATAAAACATCTCTTTTTGGGACTTTGTCTCAAAATGTTTGTTCCTTACACAATCGTCTGATCCCCTTTTTAATTGTTAGCGACTACCTGCGCGAAACAATTTGGCACGCCCAATGGGACCTTGGTGTTTGGTGTTGAGGATACAAAAAGTGAAACAATATGCCTCACAAATCTGATAAGGAAGCAGCAAGTCAGGGAGGAGTCCAGTATGTGATCGGGCGATATGAAGAGCAGCAAAGCTCTCCACAAACAGAGGGACAGAGTCAGAGTAGTCATAGTCGTTACGAACCAATGACAGAGTTGAGTCCTCGAACCATGCGTGCATTGCTTGGAGAACTCACACAGGATGTCGTTGAACAGGTAAATCTATGAAATGTTCATAATATGGAAAGATTTACCCAGAATGAGAATGCACATTATGACAACATGGCTAAACAACTGAATACATTAAATGAAATAATAAATAAGTTAGTAGGCCAAATTTGTCAGCAAGTTGTGCCTATTGCAAGTCACTTTCAAGTTAGGACAATTGTAGGACATAATTCCCCAGTCCTAAGTCCAAATCAAGGGATAGAACCACCTTTTGGTCCGTCTACTTCAAACCAGGGGGATGGTGTAATGCCAAATCAGAATAGTGGTAATGGTATATATAACTTGGGGGTAACCTAAATGTAAGAGACAATGTCCTAAATAATGGACAGAACATCCCACATGTTAATGATGGAATAAATATTCAGGCTAATGGTAACAATGACCCAAATCATGGCAACTTTATTTCCAACCAAGGACCAAATATCAGGCCCCAGGCAAATCAACCGATCAACCAACCTGTAGGAGTTCCATATGACCCCAACGTCATGTTGAGAAATCAAATTATGGAAATAGTACAGGATCAAATGACTTTTGGGGTACGTCCTGTCATTAGGCCGATTTACACAAAGCCATATTTTGATTGGGTAGACCAAGTATATCCATGACCTAGAGGGTATAAAGTGTCATAATTCTCATTTTTTACTGGTTTAGGAGAGATGTCTACTCTAGAACACATAGGGCGATTCATACTGCAAAGTGGTGAATTAACCGACTACTATAAAATGAGGTTGTTCCCTATTTCATTAATAGGAGTAGCTTTCTCCTGGTTCATCAATTTGCCAGCGAACTCTGTTCAAACATGGTAACAATTGGAGCAATTGTTCCGTGCTCAGTTTTATAAGACTGAGTTTGAAATTACTTTGGCCGATTTGACGAATCTACGTCAAATGCCAAACGAATGGACAGAAGGTTTCCTTCAAAGGTTCAAGACAGCAAGAAGTAAATGTTTTGTACCTTTGTTTGAAAAGGAGTTTGTCAAAATCGCTCAAAGTTGTCTAAATTTTGATTTGAAAAAGAAATTCCAAGACAGGGAATTTCCTGATTTTTTTCAATTAAGCGCAAATGTGATTAGGTATGAACGAATAATAAGAGAAGAAGAGCAAATGAAAAATTCTAGCAAGGGAACTTATTATAGAGATCCAAATTTTGATGTTCATTCCATTAACGACGAGTATTCCGATCAAACCGAAATGTGTTTGGCCAAATTAATCAAAGGAGACGTGTATACTTGTCCTATAATGGCTAAACCTAGATCGTCGGATAAGGATGAGCCTATAAAAGATGAAAACAAAAAGGCTAGAACGTTCTCGTTCGATGTAACCAAAGCTGACCTTATATTTGATAAACTATATAAGGATAAATAGATAAAGTTGAGCGATAAACATAAGTTGCCAAACCCTAAACAAATCAAGGGTAAAAAATATTGTAAGTGGCATAATGCATGGTCACATTTGACTAACAACTAGGGGTGGGCAAAAACCGACCCAACCCGTCCAAACCGCCCAACCCAACCCAACCCGACCGGGTTGGGTCGATTTTTTTGTTGTTTTTAAGTGGGTTCGGTTTTTTGGCTACGTAGGTGGGTTGGGTTGGGTCGGGTTGTGGGTTAACCTATAAAAACCAACCCAACCCGCCCAACCCAACCCGAACTTAAAAAAAAAAAAAAATGCGTAAATGGCTAATCGCTCGGTCACTTCCAAATTCAAAAGAAGCCCTAAAATCTCTCTATTCCCTCTCCCTCTCCCTCTCCCTCCCCCTCCCTCTCACCGGTCACTCCCAAATCCAAAAGAAGCCCTTTAATGATTTGGAGCATGTTGTATTAATGAAATTTTTTTACCTTGTAAGTTCCAATCCCATCCCACTATTAGAGAATTTTGTGATAAACCAACTTCTAAATTGGTTGTGATTTCTGATCTTTAGTGTCTCAGTTGAATTTTATCTATGCTTATGTAATTAGTTTTGTAAATTTTGAGGCTCCGGGACTATATTAGTGATGCTTTACACCCAAAAATAATATTTATTAACAAGTTGTCATAAACCGACCAACCCAACCCAACCCGACCGATACTTGATTGGGTTGGGTTGGGTTGGGTTTCAAACTTTACACGGGTTGGGTTGGGTTAAATTTTGACCAAACCGATCATGTTGGGTTGGGTTAGGGTTGGGGCGAAAACCGACCCAACCCAACCCACGCCCACCCCTACTAACAACTGTTTGGTTTTTCATCATGTGTTACAGGAGGCCATTGAATCAGGACGAATTACATTCAAGAATAAGAAGAAGATGGTAGTGGATGAAAACCCTTTTCCACAGCCACTTGGGGTGAACATGGTGACGACTGGTTTCAAAAACAAGTTGCCAAAATTCAAGTTGGTTATAGACAACGGAGAAGAGGACCCTGGGCCACACCCCAGTGTCTTTGAACTTATCAAAGGGAAAAGGATGAAGACGTATTGTGTGCAAGATGTAAAGGAGAAGTGAGTGCAAATATAGAGAAACCAGGGATATAACAGTATCACCATCGGCCTAGTTTTTTCCCAAACGCTCAACCTGTTAGAGGGCGAGGTATATCATTCTATAGGGGACCGCCTTTTGAGAGGTAGTTCAGGTTAATAAATAATGGGAGAACATTTAGGCCGCAACCTCGCCAACCAAATGTATGACATTCGTTCCAGTATAATGCAGGAAGGGTGATACCCTTCAACGAGATGGCTAGAACCCAACAAAGGTGTTTTCAACGAAATTATTGACGAGTGATGAGGCAACAACAGGGAGTGCTACGTCCTAAGGCACCTAAACTACTCGAGGTAGCCAATCAAAATGTTCTCGAAAACAGTGAAGAGAATGACACAGGTGAATCGATGGAAGAATTGCCAGAGTTCTTCTAGGAGATCGAAGTTTGAGCGAGACAGAAGGGATGAAGAAGATCCAGATCAGCCTCTTACTATTCAGTTCGGTACATTACCTCCTGTCATGGCTAATAACTATTTACTAGCCAATGAGTTCAAGAACAAAGAGAAAGAAGGAGAATAAAGGGAGGATAACGAAGAAGAAGCATGTGTACTGGAATGTGAAGAAGGCCAAACTTCTAGAGGGGCCTACCATGATGAAGAGGATGATGGTATGACGGACATCGAGGAGGAGATTAATCTGGAAGCAGAAAGAAGAAAGAGAGGAGTATCGCACAATACCCTGTTGAAGCAACTACATAGAGAAGGTGTTCGTGAAGTGGATTTGTTGGGAGAACCATCTGGGAGTTCTTTTGATTATTATGTGCTGTATGAGACACCTAAGAGAAAAAGGAGAGTATCTCACTCTGAAAAGTATGGGTCACCTGCAAAAATATTGCTTCCTCCCACAGGTTGGGTAATCGAAGAAGAAGCATTAGAAAATAATAAAAAGGAAATTCAGGAAGTGGAAGCTCAGTGCGACATACTACACATTGACTTATCACAAAAGGACAATTCAACAGAGAACAAGCAGGAAGTGGAAATAGATGCTGCCGAGAAGGTTATTTTTAAGAGACCAGCCATGAAGTTAACTAAACACTTGAGGCCATTGTACGTTAAGGCTTTAGTTAACGGTGTACCTGTGGCGAAAGTACTTATTG